CAGAAGAAAGTTCTGATATTGGCACACGAGATGGTGAGACAGGAGAACACATGGATAGGCAGGAGAGGCAATGTTTTAAGTATAAAAGGATGTGCAAAAGCATGAGCGTGCTTTGGGTTTGTGGTTAGAGATCAGAATTGAAAATACAGAGAAGTGAATCCCTTTGGGGACACTTGGGGAAATAAAAGAGAGAGTTCCTGTATCTCTTAAGGAGCTTGCTGTCTCTCCAGCAATGTCCACTTACTTTGGAAGTGGCTTTTTTTTTGGTGCTATATTTTCTCCATTTCCTAAGGCTAGTTTTCTCTCTTTTACCTTCTCTGTTCTCTGTTTTACTCTCTTTTACCTTCTCTGTTATATTCACCTGTATTTGTTGGGAGTGATGTCACTATTTAGCAATTGTACAGTCATGATATGGCAGAATTCATTTTTTCCCTTAGGACTGAACTTCTCAAGCCTCCTGTGTGTCAAATATTTGCTTTGCAGTTCAGAAGCAGTGGAAACATGTGGCCTCTCACTTAAAACTGGAGCAGCACTCCTAAGAAAGTGCTCTTTTCAGTGGTGATAAGTCAAAATCCACAAAAATCAAAATCACTGCAGACTTACAAAGAATGTTGTTTCTATCTGGGTCAGTGTTTGCTTGAATATTTTTGAGATTGCTCTGGAAACATTAATGGCCTTTTCATGGTGGTTTTTTTTTTTTTTTTGGCAACATTTGAGAGAGTCGCTTGCAGACAAAAATGTTCACTGTAAGTGTAAGTTATACAGGTACATGTTTACCTCCCTAGACATTCTTGTGGTCTGCTCTGGTTCAAATGGAAGCAGTGTCACTTGACATTCCAGGATAGCTGCACCTCTGCATTTTTACACACCTCTTTGTGCTCAGAAAATATATACTTCATATATTCCAGGTTTATTTTCATGCCTTTTGATTTTAAATAGTGTAGCAACATTTGGGGAGTTTAAGAAAAATCCCATGTACACATGATCAGGGCAAGAGGGAAGAGAGGACCTAAATTCCTCTGCTAAATTGCTTGAAAATCACATGCTAGACACTAATCCTTTTCCTTTAAGCATATGGAAGTTGTGTGGGTGGTGTTTAAAACATTGTATTTGAGATTATAGAGTAATACTTTGCTTTGATGTGTATTTACAATAGTAAATAGATACCACCCCATATAACAGTATTTTTTAAATCTTATGTTTCAGTTATAAAACTTTAGAATTCATCATTTTTCAAGTACACTTACTAGATTTGCTATTGCAGAAGAAAGGGAGAGAAGTAGTGTCATTTAGAGAGGCCTGTGGAGAAATGGCTTATTTTAGTGTTTTTGAAAGGAGAAATGGCTTAGTTTAGGGTTTTTGGCAGGACTCTTTAAGAGAACAATCCCAGGGTAAATACCAAGATCCAAATAGTTTTGGTGGTTTGAGAGATGCACAAAAAGCCTCTTAAGGAAATATTTTTCAGGATCATTTGTTTTATTTTGTTTTCTTTCCTTGAACTGGCATGGGCTTGCTTCTACTCTAATGATGAGGAAAGGTGGTACAAGGACTTGTTGTGTATAAATAATTTCCTAAAAGATTGGCAGGTAGAGATTAGGATTTCCTTTTAAAGAGTCCTTCTATTCTTTTACTGCTGTACATCATGTACACTGTGGCTTTCTTCATATTTTTGTTTCCTTCTAATATTATCTCTCTGAAGATATTTGAACTGATAGAGGGTTGCAATAAATTAATGTGGAGCTAAGTAACAATACGTACATGTAATTTAGTCAGATTTTTTTTCCCCCCCAAATTGTATTATAAAAAGAGAAATTGTTACCAAAGCTCTGGGTATATCTGTGTGTAATGTGTGCTTCTGCAGTAGTGCTGTAAAATTTGGGCATCAAACCTTTGAGGGAAGTACAGTCAGTGTTTAGTGCCATCCTCTCCTGTGAGAGACTCCCCAGAACATTGTCTCAGCTGGAGTCACTCATGGGCACTTCCTCTGCAAGGGACAGCTTATGTAAGTACAATTAAATACCTGAAATACTGAGAGCTGCACTTCCTCAGCCTAATTCTGTAGACAGCTGATGTTGCCAGGACATCAGATCACATCTTTCTGATGAGCTGGGGCAGAGCAGACTGACTCACCCCTGGACAAGTCTCCACAGGTTTCTAATGGCATGAGGCATGTGCAGAATAGCTGCCAGCCTCCAGGGCAAGGTGCCATTAGGACACGGTGCAGCAAATACTACAAAGATCCCCGACAATACTTATAGGAGATGCCTTCTGTGGTTCAGGAGCTGAATGAGGCAGGCAGTGGCTTCATTGCAAACAGGATTTTATTTTTTGACTTTCTGTAAGGACGGGTATCTTATATATGTAAGCATATGTATATATTTAAATAACAATCTATTAACTAGGACAGTCCTAATCTCAACCTTGGTGCTTTTCTCTTTCCCCTTCCACTGCCCCTGCCACCAACCAAAACCTGAATTAAAATAACTCTTTAGGCTGGAGTCATGAACAGGCGCCTTCAAAGGCTGTGTATCCCCTAAAACACAAGCAAGCAAGAGCAGTGAACTATTAATTCAAACAGAAACTCGACTTGCCAGCCATCTCTGAAAGCTTTTTTCATGCTTGTGGCCCCTCCCAGATCTCAGCCAGAGGGTGCCTGAAAGGTCACTGGGTTTCAGTGATGCAGGAGCAGCATTGCAGAAACCTTCCTTCACCTTGTGAAAACTCAGTAACACCTGCATTTAGTGGGTGTGTGCTGCCTGCAAGGTCTCAGAGTTCAGCATACGTGTGGGTAAACTGCAGAGAGACACTAGGGGAGAAATAATCCTTGCCTGGTGCTGTTTCAAAGTATTTACGAATGATAACTCTATAAAATAGCTCCTGGGAAATAGGAGTTAACAAGTTTCAACAACCAATTCACACCTTTATTTAAAGAAAGCAGAAGATAAAAGACCTATCCCACCAAGCTGCAGAGAAAACAAACTCGCTGAATTTAGTGCATGTTAAATTTGGGCCACCATTACTCCAAACACTTGTTCTTGGAGAAATCCCAAAAAATAACTTTAGATGTTATTTCATTAGCTGATCACTCATTTTCCAGCATCTGGTTTGTGTCTCAGGCAAAGTACTAGCCAACAGAGCCCTGAAAACCTACTGTCCTGAAGAATTTTCTTTTCTGTGTTGCTGGTGGAGTGTGCAGGGTGTTGGTGAATAGATAGCCAAAGATCCTACTTATTAATTGCATCTAGGAAGCTGCTTGTGCAGGGCATGAAAAACCAGTTGTTAACATGTAGCACGGCTGTGATCATATCTGATAAATGCTCTATTGTTTTTTTTTTTATTTGTTTTAGGGTGACCTTAAAAAAACTCAAAGCAATAAAATTAATACCTCCCCTGCAGGCAAAACCCCAACAAATAACAACCAAATAAAAAACCCACAGTCAACCCTGAAACTTTTCTAACCCCATTTCAGCATGATCCCAGTGCTGTAACCATTTATCTCTTTACAAAGAGAATCAGAAAACATTTTCAAGCCATACTTACAGGAGCTAAATAAGCAGTAGGTGCTTGAACTAAGATGATTTTAACACCACAAAAACACTGACTTTTCTATTTTTTTTTTTTCTGGTCTGAATTGAATGCAATGTTTTATTCTGTCTTTACCCTAATGAAAATTTGATGTGCATTCTTTCATAAATGCCATCTGATGTGGTGTTTCTCTTCAGCTCTTTGTGGTTTCCTGTTTTTCACATACAGATGAAAGTATCTGCTGAGATCTATTAAACTTCCCATTTTGTCATCTATGACTTTCTCAATACAAGCCTGCATGTAACAAGTGGATTTATTTGCACTTAGAAAAGTAGTAAATATCTTATGCAATAGAAATACAGGAGTGTGTCTTTAGTGTTGTAGTTCCAATTACTGCTTGTTTTAATTTAGGAAAACTGCATAGTATCTGTTACACAGGACCAGCTTAATACAGTTGGTTTCTCCCAGTCATACTAAGTAATTTACATTTTTGCATGACAAAATACTTAGAAAAACGAAGGCAGTTTAAACTAATGAAATTTGCAGGAAATATTACTGTGTTTGTGAGGCCTGTCTCTTTTGTTGAAATATTACTGTGAATGTGTAAGATCTTGTCCTGAATAGTTATGCATTGGTTATATTTTGGTTAATTAATATGTTTTTAAAATATCATATAATCTGATCTCAATACGTGGCAGAACATTTTTAGGAGATGTTAAGGCTTGGTAAAATTTTGATTTGATCCTAATGACACAAGAATAATTGCTGTTATTGAAAGTGATAAGATGGAGCACATTGAGGTGATCATCCTCATGCCAGTTTCTAAATATAAGTACTCAGTAAAATAACTAACCTGCATTATCTTCAACTGTGCAAATAGAAACTGAATCTGACAGAACATGGCTTTGTGTGTTAGGAAGGGTAATTCTAATTTCCTGTCTATTAAAGTTAATGTATCTGTCATGGCTTATGACAGGGCTTGGACCCCGTTGATTGTTGTCATGTCACTTGACCACTGTTCATGAGCATTAGCTATAGCAAAAATCACATAATTGTAGATATTAAATTGATGCTTATCACAGGGAGGCTGTGAAGAAAAGAGTTCTTCTACAAGCACAGAGCTGGTCCTTTACATTATCTCTGAAAGGATGTGAGACTGTTTGCAACACCTGCTTGGTGTAGGGTATTTTGGTTTCTGTGCTGTTCTTTTTGTTGTACTCCTAATTAGGGAAGCTTGAATATTTATCCCTGTGAAGAAAATGACACTTCATCTGTGTTTAAAGGAAGGTAAGCCATTATTGTTTTGCTTAGGCTTCTTTCAGAAAACTTAATTTGTAGGTGTTTATTTCCTCTGTAGAGAAACCAAGTTAATGTTACAGTTCACTCCTTTGAAAGTTCAGTTTTGATGTCTAAATGAGGTATCAAGTCTTAAGTATGTTATTTCATTGGATTTATTCTTTCTACCTATTTAACAGAACTATAGTGCCGTGGAAAGTGTTCAGGCAGTGCCTTCATGAAGTTCATCAGATTAGCTCTGGTTTGGAAGCAATGGCTCTTAAATCTACTATTGACTTGACCTGCAATGACTACATTTCAATTTTTGAATTTGATATCTTCACTAGACTATTTCAGGTAAGATTTGAAAATTATAGATATTTGTGTGAATTTGAGAAGCTTAGTGCCTTGAGGCAAGGAAGCAGATTAAAAAAAAAAAAAAAACAAACTGAAAAAACAAAACCATTGTGATTTAGCAATAATTTGTGCATTTCTTTTAGTCCTTCAGAGGTGTTTCAGGCAGCACCACCCACATCTGAAAAATTGAAAGCATCCAGCAACACCTGCTTCGTTTCTGGATGCATCTAGTGTTACTACAATAGCTGTTTGCTGCTTACTTTTCACTATTTTTAAATGCATTCCTAGAAATGAAGACCTCTGATAATCAGAGTTTAAGTTGTGTTTTTTGTTGTGCATTTGTATCTACATATATGAGATGTTTCTAAAATAAGGACAGTTAGATATTACTTTCTTTTAGGCTAAATGTAGGCCTCTTTTCTTTATCAACATATTTTTGCCATTAATGCTTATTTACAACAAGGAACTGTATTTGGGAATAGCATTAATTGTTTTACTGTTAATATTTATCTGAAATAAGCTTTTCCTATATGCTATGTGTCTTTTTCAATGTCATGTCTCTACTACAGAACATACTTAAAGTATTTTAGTCAATATAGAGGTCTGTACTGGTTTGCATCTACATTAGATGTGCTGTTTCTGAATTTAGCACTTTAGATATTTCTTTTGTATATAGAAACTATTGAGGTATGCAACCATTTATTTGATAATTTATTTTATTACCGTGTACAGTGGTAAATTAGTTCAGAGCCACAAGTTAGACTGGGGAGGTATAGACTGGACATTAGGAAAAGTGTCTTCACTGGAAGGATTATCAAATATTTAGGGACATGATTTAGTGGGGGACTTGACAGTGCTGGGTTAATAGTTGGACTCAATGATCTTTAAAGTCTTTTTCCAACCTATAAGAATATATCATTATTCTTTAGCCTGATGGAGATATGTTCAAAATATCAACTTTACATCAAACCCTGGGTTGATGTTTGTTCTGTTTTCCACATTGTCCTGTGCTAATTGTTGCTTAGATGTCCTAGTTTTGCTGTTATGGGAAAGGGTACCACTACTAAATTAATAGTAAAATCTGGCAGGAAGGGATTAATGATTTCAGTATATAGAGATTTGATTTTGATTATCTCTTCTCCGTGCTGAGTCAAAACAGTGTCACAGTTGCAGATGTTAATGGTGTCAGTAAACTCTTTTTAATTGAACCACAAATATTGGTCACTTATTTTCTTTGTGGGGCCACTGCTGGATTGATTCATTACTGTGCCTTGTGCTAGAAGATGGGGATCAGCAGGATTGATACATGTCGAGAGAGATGACTGGTAAGGGTTAACTTTTAATTCAGCAGAGAGGCAGAGAGAGATGTTTTGCCAAACAGATTAGGTGCAAAAGCTGTGTAACTGTTGAACTGAACTTGTGCTGAACTTGGTCTGAGAACTTCTCCCAGGAGGTTACAGTTTACTTCTCTAGTTTTTAAACAGCTTCTGTAACTATGTGTGCATACACCCACGGAGAGAAAATCCCAATTAAGTAATCAAAATACTGTTTTGCCAACTGTGGGTTGTGTTACAGAAAAGCTGCGTTGGTAATGGTGTTTATTCACAGAAGAAAGCAGGACTCGGCTTTAGGAGATCCTGTGAAAGGGAAGTTGCTCCCCCTGCCTCCCCACTGTATTTATGCACAGCTTTAAGTGCTGTGTTCCCTGACCAGAGAGCAGCTTAGCACAGCAGAATATCTGGATGCTCTGCAGGAACTTCAATCTGTTACTGTTAACATGTCCTTTGGTGTGAAAATTGAAGAGAAAGGGATCAAATCTTGTCCCATTTAGCACTTCTGCTCTGGTAAGACTCTGTACACGAGGAAAGCTATGGGTTCTTGCCTTTGAATGGTTTGGGTTGGAAGAGGCCCTAAGGATTATCTCATTACAACCCCCCTGCCATGGGTAGGGACACACTTCCACGAGACCAGGTTGCTCAGAGCTCCATCCAACCTGAACACTCTCAGGGATGGGGCATCAGCTGAAATGTTGTGGATCAGCTTCCCTGGGCAGCCTGTTGCAGTGCCTTCGTTACACTTAGACTGAAGAATTTCTTCCAAATATCCAGTCTAAACCTATAGGCTTTCAGTTCAAAACCCTCCCCCTTGTCCTGTCACTCCAAGCCCTTGTCAAGTCCCTCTCCAGCTCTCCTGTAGACCCCTTTAGGTACTGGGATGCTCTTCCAGGTTTCCCCAGAGCCTTCTCTTCTCCAGGCTGAATAATCCCAGCTCTCTCAGCCTGTCTCTATAGGAGAGGTGCTGTGGCAAGCACATTTCTCTCCCTCTCAGGATTTTTCACAGAGGTGCACAGAGAGAAATGAAAGAGAAAACAATTTCTATTTCTGCTCCTTGTTTTTCCCATGTGGAATGTGTTTGGAGAATTGTTTACCTGGAGTGAGTGCTTGGTTGGATTCTGATGAGGATTGTTTGAGCCTGATGGCCAATCCAACCCACTGGGGCTGGGCTCTCAGAGAGGGTCATGAGTTGTGTTAGGGTTAGAAATAGAGTCAGAGAAAGTAGTATGTAGTTTGAGTATCCACCTTTTATATAGTATATTAATGTATTTTAGCATAGTTGTAATAAAGAAATCATTTAGTCTTCTGAATTGAGTTAGACATCATCATTTCTACCCATTGGGCTCACCTGCATTTACAATAGAGGTGCTCCATCCTCTGGACTTGTCCCAGCAGGTCCATGTCCTTCCTGTGCTGAGGGCCCTGGAGCTGGATGCAGCTGTGACAGCCTATCACGCATGTTTCACTGAGTTCTCTGAAGTTCAAGTTAGCAAATACTCAGTGAAGTGTCAGTATTTGTTTTGTTTTCTGGCTTTAATGCCATTATGGTGACTGAAGAAATCAAGAAGTAGAGAATAAAAAAGGAATGCCAGCTCAAATTAGCAGCTTTATTATGATTCATTTGTTAGTGTTACTTATCATTAACTGTGAAAGTGCTTCAAGACATCTCAGGCTTAATTGTGTTTTTATTAAAACATCATGGAGTCATGCTTTCCAGATTCTAACTAAATATGATGTTTAATATTTTCTGTAGCTATGAATAGAAGGTCTCTTAAATTCAGGGTCTTCAAAATCTCTATCCAAAAAGCTGTGCTTGGTGTTCTTAGAATGATTCTTTTGAAGGAGCACTTGTAGCAATGTCGGGTATATAGGAGAGTCCTTTGTACCATTTCGACCTGAAGCAAAAGTGTGTATTTTTCAGCTGAAGCTAAAACACTTCAGGGGTGTCTGACATACAGACTTGAGTTTTATTAGAAATACAGAAGTACCTGGCTTAGTCCCTTTACTGCTTTGTCTTCTCTCTGCAGCCATGGGGCTCAATCTTAAGGAATTGGAACTTCTTGGCTGTGACACATCCTGGATATATGGCATTCCTGACATATGATGAAGTGAAAGCAAGGCTACAGAAATACAGCACTAAACCTGGGAGGTGAGAAATTTCACTGTGTATTGCTCTCCAAATAAACCTGCTGTCTCAGAACCTACATCACTATGCTAGGTTCATACTTCTAATTTGCGTATTTTTGCATTTTATTTAACACTCACTTCAGCACTGAAGAAGTGAAGCAAAACATATTATATTAGTAGACTGAAGTCTAAATATGTAAAAATAAACAGAAAGAAGTTGAAAATAAATTGCTTTTTCTTTCTTCTTCTGAATCAGGTAAAACCAGCAATGCATTCGTGAAAAGCATATTTTAAAATATAATTTGATTTTCAAAATTTGCATTGAATTCTTACTTAACAATAAAGCAAAAATCATCTTCACATCTTTCATGGCAACATTCAAGCTATAAATTTAATCTGTGCTTTTGTGCTCCTTTAGTGTTTAATATCTTTCTTTTTCCTGTGCCTGTATCATTCTATATCATAAATTCTTCACCTAGAAAAGCAATCAGATTAAAGATCATGACATGTAGAGTTTTTAAGTACTTTTTATGTGATGCTGTGCATAGTAAATTAGTTAAACTGAGCATTTACCACTATGTCACTGTTGTCCTGGGTCTTTTTCCTCACCTGGGAGAAAAATAAAATCAATAACGGATTTAATCCTATTTTACTATTTATTTCGCTAGTTTTATCTTACAGTTATGAAGCTTTTTCCCTAATGTCTTCTTGTTGAAATTTCTGCAGAAGCACATAGTTAAAGTGCATTGCTTTGAAACTCATTGGTGAAGCCTACCAACACTTATATCCATATTCTGTTCTTGGTTTTTTTCAATTTTTAACAACATACATAATGTATCTTAAGTTACCCTAGTGGTCAAGTCCATACATACAAAAATCTTGTGGTTCCAACAGAAAACTGCTGATTTTAAGCTTGATACTCAAGGACACTACTACATAAGTCAAATAACTAGGTGGATTTTGAGAGCATTTGATACGTTCACTATTTTATCTGTAACTGATCCTGATGTTATGATAGAGAAATTACCCCATGTACCTTTTATGTTCCTTGTAAATAGACAGTTTTAAGATAGATTTCTATTGCATATCAGAAAATTGCTGTCTGAGTTGCTTAGGTGAAATGCTGGAATGTGAAAGAAGGGATATGAAGTGAAATTCCTTCTTTAATCTGACTAAAACATCCTGCAAATTACAAGATTCTGTTCAGATGAATAGTTGGCACTTCAGTGTAATGTGGGCCCTACTGAAGGTTGGAGGAGCTCTGCCAAACTTCAGAGAGGCTTAGATTTCTCATCTTAGTTTGGAACAAAATAAAATATTGATGTGTAATTAAGAAAAGCTACTCTATGGTACAGGATTGAGTTTGTGGTCTTTCACTGTGAGATGCTTTTCTCAGTGAGGTTTTCTCATGTCTGACATGAAAGGGAATAGAGTTTTTAGTATGAAACTCTATACATGCCCAGGCCTGTTGCTTGTAATAATCTTCCTTGTCTTCTGATTGTGCTCTCTGTCTACATTATGTATGCTCTGAGCTACTTGTAATACAGAGAAATATTTAAAAATAAGTCCAATTGTATCGTTAATATTTGATTTTTCTGTAACAGAAGTGGTATTTCTTTTGTTCACCTCCACAGGCTCACAGAAAATTACCATTTTCTAGCAGATCGGGTTTTATCATTCATCTTTCCTGTTTCTGTTGCAGCTAAAGAGGCTTTATATTTTTCATTCCACTTGTTCAGGTGATTGGCCTGCACATGCACAAAAGGTGTCTGTTGTAGCTATGGAGACTGGATAATATCCTATACTCTTCTTGAAAAGGTTTATGGGCAAGTCTGAGTGAAATGGCTCACGGTGGATGTGCAGCTTTCACTCTGAGAACTAAAACACAAGCAGATGAAAAGCAGGGGTTAGGCAGCTGCTCTTATTTTATTTCTGCCCATGAGAAACTTGACAGTGTAGAAGAGACAGGTTTATTTAGGATTCTACAAAGAACGTGGCAGAATTGGGAATTTTACCCAAATCAGAGACCTAATTCAGTGTCTGAACCAGAGGCCATCATTGCTCTTTTTACTTCTTTTGCTGAATTCTGACTTTTCATTCATGCTGTTTTTGTCAAGCTACATTTTCAGGCTGAGTTGCACTCGCCTGGGCCAGTGGGCCATTGGCTATGTGACTGGAGATGGGAACATCCTGCAGACCATTCCTCACAACAAGCCTCTGTTTCAAGCTCTGATCGATGGCAGCAGGGAAGGATTGTAAGTACCAATTCTTACACCACCATGGCTGAGAAATCCTCATGCCCTGTTCCCTTAATGCTTATGTGGGTGGTTAAAGATGTTTAAAACAGAGAATCTGCGTGTGGTGGTTAGCATTCTTTCAGAGTTTAAGGACCATGCATTTAATATATTTAAAAAAAACCACTTGTTTCTAGTTAATTCCATTAACCAAGGTTACTGAAAGTTAACCAAAGTCATATCTCATAGCAAATAAATTCCATGAGAAAATAAAATGAGACAGCAGTTGCATTGATCCCTCCTTCCCCCCACAGCCCCCCAAGAGTCCCAAATGCACTTAAGCTTATTGAACAGTTACTACTTCCAGTTACTCATGTGTCCAACCGTGGACAATGATTTGAAAGCTATGTAATTGCTTTTTTATATATTGTGCAGCCAGAACATTTTCTACATTCTAATAGTTTACTGAAAAGATTTATAATTATTAGAGAATGTAAGTTTATAGGGGAGAAGTAGTACATTTTTGCTAGGTTGGCTGAAATAATAGACAAATATTTGGTGTCAGAATCTTTTTACTGAGATACATGTTTTGGTATACCCAATATAAATAAATTCAATGTGAAAGAAAAGGGAAAAGCAATTGATCAATCCTCAAAAAAAAAAAAAAGTTGATAAATCTTTTGCAAACTCGTAATTTTTCTCAGTTCTAGACAGTCTAGTATTTTTTTTTTCAGGTATGATGATTTCATACCTGTAATAAAAACACACTTACATTGGTGGTGTTTCTCTCTGACAAAAACTGAGCAAACGAAAACTGGAGCTGAGAATATTTTATGCAGAGTGATATTTTTGTGCCTTATGACTTTTTCATTATGTCGCTGAAAAACATATGACCTTTAAGAAACTGTTTCTGAGTTACAGGTAACATAAACCTGAATACAGACCAGCTTAGGGTTGCTGTGATATCATTTAACCTATTGTTAGTTTCCCACACAACTGAAATGATCACATTGCTTCTTGCCTAATGTCCAGTGTCCATCACTTGTAGATTCTTGTCATAATATACACAGATATGCACGTATGTAATGTTGTGAAATATATAATATTATATACATCATAATACAGATAAATACAAATGCATTACCTTCTTTTCTGCAGCTTTACTTGCAGTAGTCTAAAGAGTCCAGGCATGATGCTCCCAGTGGGGAAATCACTGGGAAGTATGAGTTCACTGTGAAACAGAGATCTGAAATAATATTTTTTGGGCTATCCCTAGAAGGTTATCTGCTAATTAAGGCTCAGATACATGCTGGTGGTAGCTGTCCATGTGATGTCAAAATCTTTCCTCTGTTTTTATAAATACGCTTGAGCACGTGTCAAATTGAATATGTAGCAATTCAGTCAAAAGATAAAATAGATGGCTGAGGAAAGATGATTTATTTTAGTTAATGTCCACTGCAACTTTTTCATACTTATGATTTAGCTAATAAAGCTAAAGAAATGTGCATATTTCTAACAGTCTTCTTGTGATGCAGCTATCTGTTCCCAGATGGACGAAGTTATAATCCTGATTTGACAGGATTATGTGAGCCCACACCACATGATCACATTAAAGTCACGCAGGTATGTTGGCAGAGTTTGAAGTTACTTTGTAATCTTCACTTCCCTTAGTATTTCACCTAGCACTAATAATAAGGTTTCATTAAAATGTGAGTAGTAAGTTCATAAAAGAGACAATATGCTGTTGATAGAAGGGCTTAGGTGAGGAAGAGGATAATAATCTTTTAAACTGTGGAGTGGATGGTGATGCAGATGGCATGTCTTGGAATGCTTTTGTTTATTGTGAGCTTTTTCCAAATGAGAGGTGTTTCAAACAGCTACTAAAGGTTTTTCTGATATTTATGTAACAGATTTATGTAGCTTGTTTTTTCCTTGCTAATAACAAAGGGGAATAGAGAAACAAAATGAGGATTATATGCATTATTAAATAATAGTTTTGAAGCCTGAATAGGAATGGTATAGTTGGTTGGCAAGTCCAGGAGCAATACATTGCAAAAATGCCAGTTCCAGGGTATCTGGTTTTCTCCTTTTCTTTGTCTGTTGTGCAAAACAAAGTCTAAATGCCTAAACAAAGTCACTTTGCAGAGAATTGCAGAGAAAATTAGAATATGTAGTTCTGTTTATAGTTGTGTTAAGTGATGATGTGATTAATTCTGCAGATGTTTGATAGTCACATAGTAGGAAGTAGCCACCCCAAGACAAATGCTTGATTAAAAATGGTGCTGGAATTAACACTAGAAGGTTAAGGAATACTGTGTAGAAAATTTTTCCTGATGGAAACATCTGAAAGACTTGAGGATATGTTCAAAGAAAGACATCAGACTAGATAGAAGCCATGCTGTTCCAGGTCTTCTGTTCCTTCAAATCAGACTGGATGACCTGCTGAGTCTTCTGCACTTCTGTGTGCTCTATGTGCATTCCACTCCAGAAGTATTTTAGAAGAGAAGCATTCTTTACTATCAGAAATACCATTACAAATATATCTCTTTTGTAAGTAAGAGAATTCCTAAAAACTGAAGAAAACCTGAATACTTCCACTTCTCTGACTTCCATCTTTTCCCTCCTGTCTTAAGATAATAATGAAAGAGTAATGGAGATTTATCAGGTATTTGTGTTGTGCAGAGCAATGCTCCAGCCCTTATCTTCACTTTTTCTCAAAGAAAGAAGAAGCAGCATATGGTCAATGACTACCTTGCTCTTCACAGGCCAATCATATTTTATTTTGAATTTATTGAATGAATAAAGTTATTTCTGCACATGTAGTTATGAGGACATTATTAGCTAATTCTGATGGTAATTCAACAGAGTCTGAATTATGTGAGTCTGCCTTAAATAATATATAACTGAAGAGGTTTAAAGTTGTCACCCTACCTGCTTAAACTATGAAAAGATGGTATGAAAGTGGCTGCAGGGCTAGATTGCTGCAGATGGATTCTTTACTAGAGCTCCACCAAAAGCATCTTTAGTACACTGACTACAGCTGCAGATACAAACGCTCTCTTTTATTTTCTCTTTTTCTTAGCCTCATGTCCCCTCACTCCTCTTAGCAGTAGCTGCTTATTTTCCCATGATATGGATTGTACTTACTTTAGGCTTTCAAAATTTGGTTTTCCAAGGCTAAAAAAGCCTATTTCAATACAAATGTATTTAAATATCAGTTCCCCAACAATAACTAATTCTAGAAAACTGTTCTGGACTTGAGTTTTGTCTATTATTTATTCCTTCTAATGGTGGTGTTCTACCTTCCTGTCACTCTTGTAAGTCTGCAAAGTACTGAATAATCTGTACATGACTGTTGCCAAGTTATCCTGTAGGGTGCTCTTGGAAAGGAAATCCTTCCTTTACAAGGATTGTGTAATTCAACATACTGCTATACAGCATCCTTGCTGTAGGTAAAAAAGCCCTCTTGCTTGTCAGTTTTCAATCCAATAATTTTTGTAGTCCTAAATTCACACCTAGAAATTAAAAGCCCAGTTGTGTTTCCATTCTTCACTTAATTTTTCACTTAGAGCCATATGTTCATTTTCTTCCTTTTAGCTGCAACCAAAGAAAAGCAAGATTTGTGCCATGCATAGCAGTTACATATGACAAGTCTGTACAAAATCTAATTGGCACAGATATTTTTAACACTTTTTGGTATATATTGTAGTATATTACAGGTTGAAAGAAGCAAAAATGTAAGCAGTCTCAGTAACCTTAGTGTGGCTTCTAGACAGATCAGTAACAAGAGTTTCCTTGATTAATAAGCAAAGCAGATTGGAAAACAGGGCATTTGGAGAAGTATATATTCTTTGTGAACAAATCATTGGAAAGAAATAATTGCTTGACTTTCTTTTGTTCCAGGAGCAGTATGAATTGTACTGTGAAATGGGTTCCACTTTTCAGCTGTGTAAAATCTGTGCAGAGAATGACAAGGATGTGAAGATAGAGCCTTGTGGACACCTTATGTGCACTTCTTGTCTCACAGCATGGCAGGTACTGTCACAGTTTAGTTGGTGGGGAAGAGGATGGATTTCTGTTCCCTTTGTGTTTACAATGTGGCTATATGTTTACTTTTCCAGGTGCAAGGATATATATATTTAAAATTATAAATGTCCTCATTTTTGAAACCTAGAAATCTGTGAAAAATAAAGTTCCAGGAGTCTTTGCAGCTTGGACTTGTAGTCTTGCCAAGCCATTTGCTGACTGCTGTAGAGTGGAATTTATTTCCTGAGTCCTGTGCCTACTCAGACATTACAGGCTGGGTATTTGGTGCCAGTTCAGTCACTTAGGTCACTTCATGATCTATTTAAAAGGCACAAAGAGGACAGAGCTGCTGGGAGTGGATAACTGACTAGACAGCATTTTATAAGAAGGGATGTCTTTGGGAGAGAAGGATTCACTCAGCAGTAGAGGTCGTGAATTTTATTGACCTGTGGAAAATTAAGCTTTTAGGATGCCTGTGTTTCACATTAGTAACATACAAAACACTGAACCAGATGGCTTTAGATAATTGTTGGACTAAGAGATTGAAAGGAGGGGAAACTCCTTTCTCTCAAAGTCAGTTATGAAACATCCAAAAAACCCCAGAGCCTTCCTGATGTCCCAGGTTGGTGTGTTTTGTCCATCTTGTTCATGGATGGGAAAAGGGAGAATGGGCACCCTTAATTCAGTGCAGTTGACCTAAAATGTAACATCTGAAGCTGGGGTCATTCATCTTTACAGCTGTGCATCATCTCTGCCCCTTTTTTCGTATATGTCATTTATGGGGAGAATTAAGGTTCATCCAGTTCCCAGACAGGACTTTGCTCCACACTTTAAATCAGTTTTTGCTTACAAATGTAGTGAGAAGAATAAAAAGAATCCAGGAGTCTAGTCCATTTTGGACCTGTTTTTAAATTAGTTCATCCTCCATCAATGTATTTTCACTTTTACATTTGTGGCATATCTTCAAGTACTATAATTTTCCTTTTCTAATTAGGACATTTTCTACCTAATTAAGTAAGCCTCAATGGTAAACCAACACAATATATCAGAAGTATCATTTGAGTTTTTCTTCCATTAGCAATAAAGGTCTCTTGAAAACAAAGTTTGCAATTTTGTGTTCTTTGTGAAATTTGAGTTTGATGTTCCAAACACAAATCTTTCAAACTGGCCATAGGTCAGAAATTCTGAGGAAATTCCATTTGAGGAATACCCACAAAAATATGTTTATTTCACTACTAAGCAGTTGCTGAGCTGGAACTGTTTCTCATTTTAGGCTACCCTTTCTCTATTCTTTCTTTTTTTCTGAATGCCAGAGGTCTGACCACATAAATTATTGACTTTAAAAATTGTGAAAAATTCTGAGAGGTGTGTAGTTTTGTTGGTTATGTTTGCTTGTCCGTTTGTTTTTTGCTCAGCTGACAGGGCTGAGCAGAAGGACTGAAATCTCTGTGATCTTTGGCAATCTTGGGCCAGTGATGTGCTCTGCTTGAGAAGCTGAAGGTCCCCAGTACTTGGCTGGGAGACAGAGATTCAGGAAGAAAATGACAAAGCATTTTAGGCTCAGAAGGCTGACGTGTTTAAATGCACCAGGTTTCATCAGAACACAGCTACCAGCTGTAATTGGTCAGGTACATTTCAGACTTCATTACAAATTTAACTTTTGTATAATTAGTGAGGCAATGAAGAGGTATTACACTGTGGCAGCATCAGCTGTTGTGAGCTGCTGGTGGGTTGTTTAATTTGCAGCATAATGGCTCGTTAGGCGTGCCTCAAGAGATCCAATACAGATGTTTTCACTGAGCAGAAGAAAATTGGGTAAGCAGCATCCCATCTGCATAGAATACTGAGGATGATTGAGCTGTTCAGCCTTTCAGACAAGGCTTGGTTTACTTGTTTCCTTTCTGTACTATGCAGCAGGAGTAAAATGTCATTTTATACCACAGAAACCTATTGTCTGAAAAGGACATGTTTTCTAAAAGCATATGGGCATATAGGCTCTATTGTAAGGTTAATACCGTTCTAAATAACCTTTCTGAGGGCATGGACAAGTGTGTGTATTAATATAGACATCTTGGGTATATATTCATACTATTGAATGCGAGTCTGCTGATATGTTTGGTTACAAAGGCTTTTCAAAAGAAAGGGTGTGGAAACTGCTGGTGCAGAACACAGGTATAAGGCAGCCTTGAAAACTAAAAGCTCTGTGCCTCATTGATAAGGTTTTTTTTTTAGAAAATGAAACTGTAAGGAGTTGTATGGTGAGGAAGGACTTCTGTTCACCTGACCATGGACCATTTAATTTGAAGATGTTTTTTTGACGTACTAGAGTTGGCTAGCTAGTTGTACTTATGGTGCTGAAAGTAGAGTAGAGGTGTCTTTCCATACAAAATGAAAATCCAGTGCTAATCCTGCAAGTGATGTCAGGAGACAATCATTTATACCATTTATATCATTTACCTGACCTTGTGATACAGCTCATCCAAAAACTGCAAAATCATCTGTCAGTTTAGTAAGACTGCCAAGTGTCAAGATAAAAATAATGCTAGGAAAAAGTTAATGTTGTTTTTGCATCTGACAAATCAAGAGCCTGTGCTTTCTTGGTTATATTTTGGTATAAGTAGATTGTTTAGAATTAATTTTGGTGTTCATATCTCTTTAGCTAGCTGTCTGTCTCCCTGACTGCAAATACAACACGATGTGATTTCACTTTGAATTATCTTGAACTCTCAAAACTTCATGGTTCTTCTGGGTGGGGGTTTGTTTGTGGTTTTATTTCTCTTGGAGTGGGTTTTTATTTGAATTTTTTTTTATAATTCAAGTCTATGTTTTGCTTCTTGATGGAAATATTTCTATAAGTGCTTGAAAGACTTCTGATTTTTGTTCATTAGTTGTCTGAATCTTAAGGCTTTTTGTTTATTTCTGATGAGAAAAAATACAGTTCTGAAATAAGTAAAAGGAATTGAATATGACTGCTTGAAAATCATTGAACACATACTACTTTAAAATTAAAATTCAAGTAGTTCTGGTTTCTGATAATATGTGAAAATAATTCCATGTTTTATATAATTTATTGGCAATGTAGTTAAGTCCTGATTTTTTAATGTAAATGTGAAAAAAACTGTAGCTTTAGGTGTTCTGAATGCTGGTAATGCTGCAGCTGTGATGGACTGAATATGTTTTTCCAAGAAGAGCTACATGCCATAAAACTTGCCTGCATTTCCTAACATCAAATGAAAAATAAATACTTTAAGATTAATATAAAAGGTATATAATAAAATGCATTATCTCTGCCTACACACCTCACCTTCTTTCTCTTGAAGGAATAGCAAAATTTATGCCTGAAAGAAAACGTGTTACTTCCTGACCTGTAATATTAAGACTGATTTAGTTCTTTGTAGAGATAATAGCTACATTTTGATTAGTCATTTTTAAGTGAAGCTTAGTCTATTGAAGAGGGAATGTTTTAAATCTGCAGTCATTTTATGATTTACTATAGTTAAATATGTGTTAATCTGTTTCCTGTTTACTCCAGTCCTCCTTTACAAGCTTTTAGAAACCGGTTGAGGATGTTTCTGTGTAAAAGGTGTAAATCCTACTTTTAAAATTATTGCTGGTTTTGTTTCTTGTTTTTTAAATTTATCTACGTTTTTGTCTTGCTGCAGGAATCTGATGGCCAGGGCTGCCCTTTCTGCCGCTGTGAAATCAAAGGGACTGAGCCAATCATCGTGGATCCCTTTGATCCCAGGGATGAGAATTCCAGGTGCTGCAGTATTTTGGATAGCTTTAGCATGCCCATGCTGGACTTGGATGATGATGATGATAGAGAAGAGTCTCTAATGATGAATCGTTTGGCTTCAGTCCGAAAGGTAACTTCAAACTCTGCACAGCAGCTGAACCCAGATGTTTGTAAGCAAAGTGAGAGGCTGCACTTCATGCTTCAGCTCACAGCATCTCACTGAGCAGTTTTGGAGTTGAAAAACCAAAATGTATTACTACAAATGCATTAAGACTGAAGTTGAATTGGAGGAAAAAAAAAAATCCAGAATTTCAGCTGATGTGAACTGAGATAACAGTTTATAATGGGCAAAGCATGAGTTTGCACTAGCTGAAACTCTTATCCAAACTATGCTGTATGGACAATTCCCTGAGCTTTTATTTTGTAAAGAACAAAACCATTCCTATATGCATTTGTTTTCTGCACATGTGTGTACACGTGCATAGAATGTTTTAGGATTAAATTTGAGTTTCTAAACAGTTTTCAATATTATTACTTTATAAAAGTGACTTGACACCTAATTCATACTGGACACAAGTATCTTTTAGTTATGTTTCATGTGAGTTGGCTACGTTTTTGTTTTTTTTTTTTTCTGTAATTTTTACTATCAGATACACTTATTGGGAAAATTATTTTTGAGATTATCCATAGTGACTTTGTGTTTTCGGATGTTTTTTGTCCTGAAGGGGCTCCATGTTGAATTCTGATCTCATTGCAGGAGATTTTACTACTGATAAATAAGCACTATCATTGACAAAAGTTTATTTTATGGTCATAGTTTTTACTACTCTATTTTAGCCTGGAATAGATATTGTCAGAGGCCCTGTGACACTGATTTTGACAGAGCATTTACCAGATTTTACCTTATACTAAGGTCACCTAGACTGAATTGTTGCCTTGGAATTAATTTTGTAACATCTTACTTTTCCATTTCCTTATCATTCTATTTGTTAAAAAAAGAGTGTTCTTCATCCTCATATCTGAGAATATCTGTCAGTTAATATACAAGCTTCTGATAGCCTCCCTAACCTCTTAAGGCTTATGAATCATTCTGGTGTTGTGTACATAATACAACATGCTCTACCCTTGGGAACAGTTTATCCTTCCTTCCTGGACTTAAATTGCAGTCTGCAGCATGACCTCTGTGAGATAGCCTTGAATTGATGGGCTTTTATAACACTATCACTTCCATGATAAGGCAAAAATGCATTATGCCTTTATCAAAAGAAGGAACAATAGGTTTACTATAAGAAGTCTTCTTTTAGGTATCCACCAAGTGCTTGAGTGCTTTTGTGCCTTGCTATTTTTGTTTCATTGAGTTCATTGTTCACTGAAAGAAATCTTCACTCCTCCAGCCTCCTGAAATCTATTTGAAATTCTTGAATTATTGCATCATTTGGTGATTTTTAGCTGCTGTTTTCTTAAAATTGTTACCATTGATTGTGCAGTGATGGTCTTAACCATACTACCTGTGGCATTGTTCATATATATTTTTTGTTAGCAATGTCTTCATAAGACTTGCCTATTTCTTTAACCATTATTTATTTTTCCTGCTAATCACTGTATCTTTGGAGCCTGCTTAAAGAAATAATACTTTTCTCTGTGACATTGTGTAGAACTTTCCTCTTAGTGAAATTTTATTTTGTTTGTCATTAATGCTGTTCATATGAACAGTGTGCTGCATAGTGACAGGGGTAGTAACATAATTTGTTGAAATTATGGAAGTTAGGTGGCAAAGACAATAATTTAGCTCTTGCAGCCAACCTGCTGGTACTGTTGTGACTTTGTAATTTCTGTAAACAAATTTTTCAATTCTTACTTTATTGCATGGACATGTGGTAAGCGTTCTCAACATAAATCTGTTAATCCTTGAAAATCAAATGGGATATGTTTGTGTCAAATCACCTGGCTGACCATTCTAAGAAAAATCTGGTCAGTGAAACTCATTAGAAGAGAAGAGTTTCAGGGACATGAAGTTTGGATGAAAGTGACTGTAGGACTTCACAATATGTTGTACTCAGAAACTCTTAAGAGGTGTCTGAAAGTCTCTGAAAGACTTCAGATTTGAAATTGCTTTAATGAAAAGAATAATCACAAAGCTCCTTAGACATTCCTTAAAGGAATTAGTAAGTGGATGCACATTAAGAATAATGAGTAATTCTTGCTAAGTGTTGTGTATGAGTCAGCAGTAGCAGCAGATCAACCCTAACAACAGAGGCTTTGGAGAAATCCACTGCAGCGAGGCTGTTTATCTGCCTCATCAATCAGCTTATTTTTTTTTTATTATTTTTTTTATTTCCAAGTTGTCTTCTGATATTTCCTAATGAAAAAAAAAGAGAGGAAGAATGGTGCCAAAAGCCTCTGTTAATTGTTTCCTCACTGAGAAATTTCAGCCCCATGGTATCAGATTATCTAATGCAGTTATTGCCCAAAATGTTCCTCTGCTAAGCTTTTGTTCTAGCAAAGCACAATATTATTAAATGAATATTAAAAAGTGGCGATTACAAGCTCAGGTAAATATTGAAAATAGTTTTTTTGGGTTTTTTTTTTTTAATTTTTAAAGCGGGCATTTGAGTCTCTAATAGAGTATGTTAGTTATTGTATAATGTTTAATATTTAATTTTCCTAATGAATGAAGAGTTCTCTGTCACTTTACTTTGGTACAAGACCTAATTTGATACACTTATTTTAAAAAGAAAGAAAATAAGGAAAATGGGTAATGCTAAGAGCAAATAATTTTGAGATCTTAAGTGCTTACAGTAATTGTTTGATCCAAATAATATCCCATGAAAGCATAGACGAGGGCTCTACCAGTATAGGAGCCTATGAAGTTTTCAGTACCCTAAAGTGAATTAACTGTCTATAAACACTTTTGTCTAAAAGTAGATGAAGTTACCACATCTGGGGTGTTACTGTCTTCTCTGAAATTATTTTCCTTGTTATCTGAGTGTGCAAAACCCTGACTGATTGATTCATGCTGTACTTTAAAATAATGATAGGAAATGGTCAAGGCTGAAAGACAGTTTGCCATGACTAGGCTTCTTCCAGCAGGTGAGTTAGGTCAAATTTGGTCAATAACAACAAATTACTTTGGCTCTCAAAATATGGGAGGAGGCTGTTTTCACTCATTTCTATATTATTAAGTTGACTTTTTTTTCCGGTAATGGAAGGCATGTATTGCATAATGTTTTTTATTTCATTATATAAAATATAAAAATATTAAAATATAAAAATAGGACTTGAAGTATGTATCCAGATATTCCCTTTGACAGTACCTGGAACTCATATATGCATTTTACTTCCTACGTAATGGTACACCTGGTTGGTGGAACGTGCTAAGATCATGTTGCTCAACAGGAGTGACTTAATTAACTGATTACAGACTAGTAAGCTGGTGTGTAATCATAACTAGTTGGCTATAAATGCTGGGAGGCAGTGTGCCTCCCCTAATTACTGATTCCCTTGGCAGTGTGCTGCTGACTCTCGGAGACCTAACTCCCTCTCCCTCCTTCACGTGCATTTCCTTGGATCAGCAAAGATAAAGAGAATAAATCTGTCTTTTTAAAGACATGTTTGCTGTCACCAGTGTTAAGTGATGTAAATTTATATCCTCATTTAAGGTTTAAGCCTAGATTATACAGCTCTGTATAGGTCACAGCTTATCTTAACAAGAAATAACAAATATGTGAGTTACTCTTACCTGATTATAAATAAAGAAACTTCAGAAAGCTGCTTCTGGTGCAGGTCTGCTTGGACCCTCTTAGATGTCTCATGCAGTTTGAGTTTGCTCCAAGAACATTAACAGGCAGGATAGTATTGCTCAGTGAGTCAATCATTAGGATTTATGTGGAGTATGCTGTTTATATGGGCCCTTCTGGCATAAAATTATTTGAAAACTCTTGATTCAATAGCCAGGCTGTTAATATTTCCATCAGAAAAAAAAAAAAAAAAAACCTTGACTAGAAATTGTAATCAGTGTTAGAAGCAGGTTTTTTCTTGAATTCACAACTGCTAGTAACAAACTGATACCAGTGTATGCCAGTAACAAATATATCTGATGGAAAAACACAAGTGTGGTCCCTTCTGCAGTACAACTGCAAAGTAAGTCCCAGCTGCTTTTCCCTTGGCAGCAGTCGTGCCAGCCAGATGAAGCCCATGTTGTTACAAAGGAGTCTGTGTTCTTCTCCTTAATTACATCTTTATTGCACAGGTCTCTGTGTGTGCAGCAGAGCCCCTTTGTACACTGCAGGTCTGTCTTCTGTCACTGCCAGTTCATTTCAGCTAGTTTGTGTCTTAATCACTTGCTTGTTTTAGCTTTTTGTCACTATTCTCTCTCACTGCACATTTTTTCCCAGCATATAAAAAACATCCAAAAACCTCCAGTAGGTGACAAAGAGGAATTTTAGGAGAGTATGCCAAAAAGAGTAGATATTATTACATCTGTTAATGATGCAGCCTTCTTGTTGGCCTAGCTGTCACTCATCAAATGATGCAGTTGGACAGGTTGGATGGGGGTGGACTGGAAAATATGGGATTTTCATATTGGGAGTGTGATGGAAATCTGATACTGAGTGCCAAGGAAAGCCTGTTTGCTGCTGTGGAATATTTGGTTTTATTTTATTTTTAGTATCGGTGGATCCAAACAAAGAATTATTTGTCCCAGCAAAGCTTTTGCTCTTACTTCAGCACCAAGTGGTGATATACAGATTAAGCTTCCTTGCAGGGGGAGAAAAGTTTATTTTGCTTGCAGCTATTTAACTTTTTTTTTTTCAATTGTTACTCTTTAACTTGTTAGCCGTTATCAATTCCCTTTTTGAAATCCCTGGGGTTGCAGCATGTTCTGTTGGCATTGTGGCTGTACTGTAGCATAGTAGTCCAGGGGACCGAAAAATTACTTTGCTATTTTAAAACAAGACATAACAAAGCACGGGTAAAAGCCTAAATTCGTGTCCTCTCACACACTTACTACTTTGAAAATTTTCCATTTCGTTTTGTTAGTTGTGGTTTACTGTCCGTGGGATGTGATAAAGGTAGCCAAATACCAAGCTAATATATGGAACTAGAAGTTTATCACATAAATTAAATTGCTTGCTTCACTGGGTTTAAAAGCATGTCAGGGTTTAAGTATCTTGAACTTTTAAATTAATGAGTTTTAAATGTGAATATTCTATGATTTTTGTCTCTGCAAAAGCTGTTGCAGCTGGAGAAAGAAGTCTGATGTGGATGGAGCAAGTGAGCACACTGAGAGAAGAGGGCATCACTTTGCCTAATGATTCTTTAGAGAGAGCTGTGTAAGAGAAGTTTGCCAGATAGAAACAGGGATGGATATTCTTAAAATGATGTCACTGCAGTGCTGTTCACTCAGCTGGGATTTGTACAATTCCATGCAATCTCCCATTTGAGAATCTCAGGTTGCTCTCTCAGGAAATTGTGTTAATTAGTTTGATGATGCGACAATTAGAACATCCTAAATTCCGAACAAATGTTTCCTGTCCAATAATTGGTTTTCAGTATTTCCTATCTTTATAACTCTTTGTTTCCTACTCCTATCACATATATGATTGCTCTTCTGGAACAATTCCCTGCTGACTGAAATGTATTATGCTGTGCAACACCATAAAATGCTGTGACTTAACTATATCACTTTCATTTATTTTAAATAATTGAATCTTTTTGGAGGTGTGACTAGCTTATTTAGCTATATTTCAGATAATTTGGGAAATAAATTCATTTTGTGTCTGCTGAAGTCAGTCCTTTGAGTATATTGTATTGCAAATCCTTGGCTTTCAGGATTGCTTTATGGAGTTGTAACTAAACTTTGAAAACTAATGCTGTTAAATGGTACAATGCTTGTTATGCTGTTTAACTGATAGACGCCTTCTGATAAGGAAAATGAATTGACATTCAGTTTATAGTAATTCTATAATTACTGTTGCTCAGGCATGCTTGCAAGATACACATCTTGCTTAGTTATTCAACTTCCCTTAATGTTGAGAGGCTAAATGCTTTGGTAATTTATGTGCTTATATTTATGGTCTTCCAGTCAAGGACAGAGTCATTCACCAATTAAATGAAACAAATAAAATTTAAAGACTTTATTCAAGGCATTTAATATTAATATTGAGACCATCTCTTCACTGAAGAGAGAAACTGAGAAACTTCTGGTAGCCACGAAAACCACAAATCTAACTGCTCTGCCTCTTGAATTTGAATGTTTAGTTGTGACATTGAGCTTGTACATGTAGACAAAGTGGGGAATACTCTAGATAGCAAAACAAAAATCATCCTGATGATGGAGTTGCACATTACCCTTCTAGCTTTCAACATCTTCTCACCCCTCTCCTGCATTTTCATGCTCTGTTGACAGTAACACTGTGGTGGTTTCTATTTTTGAAGAAAATGTAGTAGCAATCCCTGTTGTATAGAATGGGACATTAAACTAAGCTGTAGTTCAGAGCATTGATAAGGATCAGTGCTCTAGATCCTTTTCCTCACTCTGCTTTTGAATTTACGAAGCTTCCAGTTTCTTTAAAATAATGATGGTGTGTAAAGACAGCTAGTGTTGCTTACTTGTTTACCTTGTTAAAGAACTTCCTACTCTCATCTCAGTTATCGCTGTGGATTTTCAGCATTCATGAGAAAAGCTTATGAAGAGAGGGGAAAGTTTTTATCCAAGGGGTTTAGCCCAAAGAGGGGTGTGTTTTAACCTCTCTAGAGTTGAAATCTTTGCTTCTGAAGAATTTGAAAGGACGGATCAAGGAAAAAAGAAATCATAATTTGTCCCTGGAGGGGGATGTTAAATGTTTGTGTTATTAGTTCCTTGTGTTGTTATCAGTATTTGCTTAAATGATGAAATTGTTCTAAAATGATTTTTATAATCCCTTCTTTTTTTTTTTTTTCTGATTTCACTTCTTTCCTTAATGTCTTGCTGGTGACTTTGATTGGTAAATTTTCCAAAGGCATACTTTCTGTTTCGTATGGAAGTATGATTTGAAAATGAGCATAAGCAGTAACAGGCAATATCATGGATATCCAGCTTTTAAAAATAATTTGTAGAACTTTAGATTGAGTACTTTCTGTTAATAAAAAAGCTATCAAGGGTAGCAATGCTATGGTAGAATTTATAATTTTTTTTTCTTCATGTTTGGCAGTGATTGTTAGGTTATAATACAAATTGCTGGAATATATATTAATTTTTTCATCACAAGCCAACACGGGTCTTTATTTTGAGGTAGAATGACTTGTAGACTTCTTTTTCAGTTGCTATAAGATGAGCTCTACTGTCCAGATGTCCATTATGTAAAATTACTATTATAATTGACTCTTAGTAAGTATCTGATAAGTATCAAGCATTTTAGTTGGGGTATGGAAGTTGTATACTTGATCATCAGGTAAAAGGTTATTTTATTTTTTCTGTCCTGAAGTGCAATGATAGGCAGAACTCACCAGTGACTTCCCCAGGATCTTCCCCTCTTGCACAAAGAAGAAAACCACTTCCAGACCCCCTGCAAATCCCTCATCTTAGTCTTCCACCTGTCCCTCCCCGTTTGGATCTGATTCAGAAGGGAGTGGCACGGTCACCGTGTGCCAGCCCCACAGGGTCACCAAAGGTAAGTGTTCCTGGACCAATACAAGGATATATAAGAATATAAGAATTCTGAGAAATTGCATTTTGTTTTTTTTTTTTTTCCAAGGTGAGCTTCTTGGTTTGTTTTGTAAAGTGGACTGTTTCAAACCCTTCCATTGATACTGTGTTTTCAGGATTTTGCCCTGCCCAGAAGAGCTTTATTTCCTTCTAGTTTAAAGAAACTTTAGATTAGATCTGTATTGATGAACTCTCTTCTCTTTCTATAACACCTTTAGTAGTTAAATGTTTCTGGTTGTATGTGTTGGTCAAATATTACTTCAGTTTGTCTGATGATTATATTGTACTTGGTTATAGTCAGAATTTTAAAGATGTTGCAGTAATGGATCAGTTCTGTAACAAACTCTGATTAATGAAAATAAATAGAAGCTAAAGTTTCCTGAAAATAGATTTAAAGGTCATTATCTCATTAAAATTATATGTTTTCCTTTCATGATGATTTATGTTGAATTTCCACAGTGTCCTTACAAGAAAAATATGTGCAGATACACTGCTTTCAAAACTTTAAATGGCATATAATAGGACTCAAATTTCAAAGGAAATAATAATGACTCTATAGCCAATAAGATTGTATGCTGTGTTTTGTAAAACTAGTGCTACTAAAGATTCAATGATTTTTTGAGTGGATAAGCATGAACAAGAACAAAAATACTGTTTGCTGCTCTCTGTAACAAGTTGATTGTTTTATTATAATTGCTGTATAGAGAGAGCGAGTTAGATTAAAATTTTTCACTTTTATATGATTAATTCAAATTCAAGTTCAGGACATGACTTGAAACCTGTGTGCTCATAATAATCCAGTTTGAAGTAGCTTGTTTCTTTTTTTTACTCCTCTGGGAGTTTATTTTGTTTGGGGTTTTGGGTTTCTCTTCCACATCAGGAAGCCTGATGTGGAAGACACAGCCCACAGAATTCATTTTGGCAGATTAGTAAGTGATTCACATGATCAAAGCAAAGGATACTGGAATAAACTACGGGTCAGAATAATCTGCCTGAGTTAGCTGTCTTTTCTGCTTTCCACTCCTTGCTTGGGTTACTCATGCAACATCAGAAATGGGGGAATGCTTTCTGAAGAAGGGCCAGGTTGTCTGCAGAACGCCAGCAAGGCCTGCATTCAACCTCCTGGCGAGTACTGCTGTGGTGCCAAGAAAATACCTCAGAAACGACGAAGCCGCGCTTGGCCACAAGCGATGTTCATGCCTCTGTGTGACTTCTCTCTTTTTTTGTAACTTCCATGTGCTCTTTAGTCTTCTCCCTGCATGGTGAGGAAACAGGACAAGCCTTTGCCAGCACCGCCGCCTCCCCTGCGCGACCCTCCGCCGCCGCCGCCGGAGCGGCCTCCCCCGATGCTGCCGGAGAGCCGGAGCGGCAGGCACCTGCACCACGGGGAGAACCTGCCAGCCCGGGAGCAGCCCGTGCCCCTGGAGGCCTGGTGTCCCAGGGACGTCTTTGGGACCAGCCAAGGCTGCCAAGCCAGGGGCGACGCCTCCCCCAAAGCAGGACTGACCGCCACCGCCAACCTCAACGGGAGGCACGGCCGCGTCGCCTCCGAGCAGGGGTTTATGAGGAAGCACAGACGCCACGAGCCACCTGCAGAAAGTGCCAAGGTATTTCCAATGAGGTGTTCAATCCTAAATTCACACCCTCCTGCAGCATTGTCTTACACCCTGTTTTATTGGCCGCTGTTGATTTGTGGTTTCTGAATCTTTTCTGTCAATACTTAACATTAAGCTGCTCATAAAGAAATGATTTGTTAAATACCGTAATTTGTAAAGCAACACTACATGAGGGTCTGAGTGACAATCTTCATGTAAAACCTTTGAAAAATATCTTTGAGAGAATACCAAGCAGGGGTTTATGAGGAAGCACAGACGCCACGAGCCGCCTGCAGAAAGTGCCAAGGTATTTCCAATGAGGTGTTCAATCCTAAATTCACGCCCTCCTGCAGCATTGTCTTGCACGCTCTTTCTATTGGCCAGTGTTGATTTGTGGTTTCTGAATCTTTTCTGTCGATACTTAATATTAAGCTGCTCATAAAGAAATGATTTGTTAAATACCGTAATTTGTAAAACAACACTACATGAGGGTCTGAGTGACAATCTTCATGTAAAACCTTTGAAAAATACCTTTGAGAGAATACCAAGCAGGGATTTATGAGGAAGCACAGATGCCATGAGCTGCCTGCAGAAAGTGCCAAGGTATTTCCAATGAAATACTAAATTCACACCCTCCTGCAGCATTACACGCTGTTTTATTGGCCAGTGTTGATTTGTGGTTTCTGAATCTTTTCTGTCGATACTTAATATTAAGCTGCTCATAAAGAAATGATTTGTTAAATACCGTAATTTGTAAAGCAACAGTACATGAGCGTCTGTGTGACAATTTTCATGTAAAACCTTAGAAAAATATCTTTGAGAGAATATTCTAGATTTGCTATATTCTTCTCGCAAATTATCCATGATAACAATGTATCCCTGTATGTTATAATAATACAGCATCTCAAGTCCACTTTGGAACTGTCACATGCCAAAACTGTGCATGCATTTTCTAATGGAATACCAGATGATATAGTTGCCTCTGTTGTAGGTGAGGAGAATTCTGGCATTTAGCAGCTTCAGGCACTTGCAAAACCATTTACAGCTGGTCAGACTTAGCTTTGAAAAGAGATCAAATGGTGATGTCCTAAGAAAAAATTCCTAGTTCTGCTCTAATCAGTTTTATCAAAGCAGCTCAGTAATTTATTCATAGAGGTTATTAACTCAGAGCTGCTCTCTTTGTTTTCTTGAAGACTACACAGCTTGTGCAAGACTACAGAGCTCTTGCTTAGATGGATGGATTTGTGGTTAAGCCATGGTAGTTAGAAATAATTTTTTTCATCTATTTGCTTTTCTCAAGACCACAAACTATTTAACCCTTCTATCTCCAGTTAATTTGTTTTTAATGTGTATATATATAAAGTATTTTCCCATAAATATACATGGAGGTTTTGGTTATTTTGAAACTACATTACTGAAATTCAATTGCTATCCATAAGGGCTGTTGACATATGTGATGAAAAGTACTTAAGTCATCTATGAAATTATATATAATTTAATTATTATTATATAATGCATTTCTCAACATTGAGCCAAAGCACCAAAATTTACTTAGAGCTAGGGTGTTGTTTAAATGAAGCAGGTTTTCTGTTGATTTTTAAAAGGATATTGGGTTTATATCTTCAACTGTACCTTCATGTAGCATTCTTGTTGTCTAGCACAGTACTGAAGCTGATGGAATGAGTACTTTTCAAATTAGAATACCTAGTCAGTGTGGAAGTGTAGTCTGGAGAAGTTACATTTATAGATCTTTGACCAAGTACTGCTTGAACTGTCATCTTCAGGTTGTAGATATGAACCATTTGATTAGAGGAGGCAACCCTGAATTACCATTTCAGGCTGTATTTACATTCATGGGGGAAACATGGAATGAATTTTCTTCCCTGATGCATGTATCAATTGTAATATAAACTTTTTGCTATTGGTAGAAGCCAAGAATTGGGAAGGCAATCCTGTGGGTGGAGGATGGATTCTGGCAGGCGCTGTATCACCATTTTAATAATTAATATGTTTAGCATGATGTACCCTTTGTTTTGCCATTACACTTCATCTCTCTCACTTTGCAACCTTGAGATCTTAATTTTGTGAATTAAATGGTGTGAACTCCTGGGAAAGCCTTTACCCACAGGCTTCTCTGTTGTGTAATACCTAGTTGATGAATATCCATGGTGATAGAAGGAGATACCCATTGTAATACTTCTGTGATTTTTAGGTTTTTTCAAATGGTCATCTCATGAGTGAAGAATATGACGTCCCTCCACGGCTTTCACCCCCTCTTCCAGCTGGCTCTGTCATCCCTAGTATAAAGTAAGTTAACTTTATCTATTAAAGAAAAGTTCTAGTTAACGTTAGGTAATAGCACTGACTCTCTGGTGCTAAATGAAAAAAAAATGGGAAAAAGAAAGAAATTAACTAATGTAACTTGATATGCTTTCCATGATTTTTAATGTGCCTTTACAAAGGGAACGTAAATGGTATTGATTAAGTGGGAACAGTCCTAATGTTAATTGGACACAGCATGTTTGTATAGGGAGAGAGGGTAAATTGTGGCAGATCTTGCTCACAGGAATTTGGCAGTGCAGAGCAGATACTGTCTGGTTTGGCTTCTATTACTACAGGAGAAGTGTGGTCCGAGCTGTTTTTCGCAGGAGATGACAGATTGTAGGGAAAGTGCTAGACCTAAACAATGTATTCTGTCACTGTTCTGCCTCTAATCCTGGGCTTTTGGAACGTGGAGCTTTACCCAGGGTTCACACTATCATCTCTTATTTGTTGTGGCTAAAAAGCAAGCAACCAAAACAATTTAATATAATTTTAAATATGATCAACGTTCCTGAGTTCCAGAATATGGGAAAATTTCAAGTGCAGACAACTGTTAGTCTTCCAGTAAAAATGACTGTTTATTTCTTAAATAAAGATGTTGCTGTCATAGCAAGTACCTTCAGACTCTGAATGACACAGGATTTTGTACAGAAAATATATTTTAAAGTTGAAAGCTTAGAAGTCCTATAATGTGGTTTGTCCTTGTTTTGTGTTTTTGTAAGGAAATTGGACCATATGACAATAATGCTATCCTCCAACTTCTTTCCAGTGTTCTTCTTGGGATTCTTGCTGTTAAATAATATAATAGGACAGTCAGTTCATATTAGTCCTGAGAACTTTCTCATTTCATTTTTGTGTTCAGTTAGCTTAAATACAGACGACAAATATATTTCAGCATTTTATTAATAGGCTGGGTATTTTTTTTTTCCTGAGCACTACAATAAAGGTGCAATGGAGGGTTGATTTTTTTATTTAAGAGCCTGTTTTCAGGTGGAGCAATTGCTGGGGTGAAGTTCTCCCTGCCTACTTCCAGTTCAGAAGAAAATTTTACAATATTTTCCAGGCATGCCTGTAATTAAATGTCGGGTTGTAACCTGATGGAGGTAGGGTTGGATACCTCATGTCATCAGTGCCCTTCTAGTCTGCTTATTTCATAACACAATGAAAAGCTGAAGAGGGGAATATTCTTATTTCTGTATTTCATAGCATGGAAAAACATCCTACTTCATGAGAATCCCATTTTTTTTCACCCAGATACTTGCAGATGTAGCCTAGAACAAAAGTACAGTGTATACACAGAGCATTGGAAAGTCCACACAATATTGTAACAGTATGTACAGGCACAAAATCCATGTCAGGCCAGTCCAAAGCTAGAATGTGTGACTTCTGCTTGGTCAAAAGGAATTCTTTCATTGACCAAATATTTCGGAATAGAAAACTGATGAATTCCAGGAAGAAGGAAAAACCTTCATTTGCAAATCCAAACTCCATTGATTTTTGAGGAAAAATTTTAAAAATTTGCTTCTGTTTCGGCTTTTAAAAATTACACAGGCAATTTTAAATTTTGATTTTTAAAGCATAAATTATCAATACATAACGTTAGGTGTAAGAAGTTCAAATTATCTAATTACTGAAATATTATGTGGAATGACTGTTAAAAATTGATCATTGTATGTTGTTTCTTTAAACACTAATATGCCTATTTTCAATTTATTTAAGATTAGGTTTTTGTCACCACTAGGAAATATACCAGTAATCTATAATATTGTATGATAATATGTAGGTGGAAAAACTGGGGAGGAAGGGAAAAAAACCATCTTTAAAGACAGCAATTTCCACCAGCCACAACTATTGCTTTCAAAAAATGTAACTCAAATAATATCTAGCATGATTTATTTGGAAACGTCAGAGAGAATATTTTTACAGTCTATTTTTCCTCCTGTTGAATCGACTGTGCTCAGCACTCATAAATGTTGAACTGTACATGATTCAAAATACTCTGCTTTTCACAACTGTGCTACTCCAATTAATCTGAGCAAGTTGCTCATTTTTTTTCGTGCTCCCCAGTCTGTGCAGTGTGGTGGATTGAGAGCTGGTTTGTTTCATATAGCTCCAGGTGTTGAAGGTGAAGTCATAGCCCCATTAAGGCATTCTGTTCTTTCTCCTTGTTATAATCAGGCTGTACTTCCTAACATTTGACTGAAGGGTACATTGATAATGTATGAAATGTCTTATTCTAAATAACAAGGAGGCAAAATGACTCTTACTTGAAACTTCACAATTTTAAAATATCCCTACTTAAATTGTTTGATCAGCTTTTACTGAATATAATGTTACAAATATGACCTTTTTTTAATTAAAAAGCTACATTAATAGAAAAGCACTGAAGGTTTTTGTTGTTTTTTTTTTTTTTATTATTTTTCCTGGAAACAGTTCTGATTTATTTTTGTTTTACTAAAATAGTGACTATAAACTGTACTTCAATAATGAAGTATTGGACTCCTGCTAACTGAACATCTGATTTTCATTTTCCACTCAGCTTCTATGTTTTTGACTGAACATGTTAAAATAGTTATTTTTAATTGGACTTCTGTAATTTTGTCAGGCTTTTTTAGCAGTTTTGATCAAGTTGCTGTTTTATTCTTGAAAAGATATCTAAGACTCTTACGTCAAAGATACAGAGTGATTCTTATCCAAATCTTCAAGTTTTTAAATTTAAATAGTGTTGGTTTTTTTTTTCATTCCAGTGAGTAGCTCCTATTTTTCTACATCAGTAGCAGACTCTTTGTCTCAAAAGCACCATAAACCACGGGGATATTTTGCATGAGGAGCATTCATTTTTGAGTATGTAACAGTGCATCCAATTCCAAGTGCCTTTCGTGGTCTGTGTACTCTGTGAATATATTAGGAATATTTAGTTGCCTTGAGGTAGTTGAGGGGGAAGTAGCACCAAAAGGTGTTTCTCCTCTTGTTGTCTGTCCCATCGTGCTACCAAAATGTTGAAGGTGAAGTCATAGCCCCATTAAGGCCAAGTGTGGCTTGGAATTCCTGTCTCCCTTGAGCTCAGCCTTTGGCGTGGTGCTTCTTCAGAAGGAGCAGGGCTGATGGGCACGTTCCAGACATGTGAGAGGACATGTCCTTACAGCCTGACAGGCTGTGAGAATGTCCTCTGCATCACTAAGCACCTTTTGTCCTGAATTAACTTTCATTCAGTGTTTTTGATAAGTGCAAACAGGCCGAGTCTTGCAAGCGCCTATTTGGTACTTTAATTATTTGCAGCTCTCTGCTATGTTGTGCTTGCTTAAAGTGACTGTTTAAGTTTTAGAGGGGTAGCTGCCCTTTCCTTTGTGCATGCTCAGTGACAAAAAGTCACTAACCTTACAAGTTTGTCATGGTGCTTTTGTCTCCTCATGTGTAGCAGACTTATTAAGGATGTTTGGGCTAAAGAAGAGTATTTTCAGTATTATCTGAGGTCAAGTACCTAACAGCTGAAGATAAACCATTATTTTTCTAATCTCCTTAGGTGCCCTGGTCCTTCAGCAAATTCTCTGTCTGATAAATCAAGGGAACACCTAGATGATGATGATGAATACAAAATTCCTTCTTCACATCCTGTAATACTGAGCTCACAACCGCCTCATGGTCATAATATAAAACCGCTTGCTCGGTAAGGTGATTTAGCAGCCTTGAAACAATTTTTTTACAAAACCTCTGCTTTTTCCAAAATAACAGTATTCAATATCTGAAATTATGGTTAAGCTTGCCTGCCTCCTAAGCTTGGATTACCCATGCTTCTGTTTCATTTGGCCACCACCACAGATATAAACCTATGAAGTTCACATTATTGAATCTGTCTTGTGTCAGAACTGTGTGGGTTTTTTGCCTTTGGATACCATTTCTATAACTTGGGGTCTTTTTTTTCCCCCCTTACATTGAAGTTTTCAAAACTTACCAGGAGATTCAACCCCTAAAACTCTCTCAAATTTAATTTTAAGGAGGATTGTGTGACTGAAATTGCCAGTCAGCTTTGAAATTCTTAGCTTTTCACATTTTATATAATTCAATTTAAAAGCAATGCAGTACTGAAAAGTATGTGAACTGGTAGCTGTATGTACATACTTTGATTCTCTTTTTGTCCAATGTATAGTTTTTTAGCTTTTTAAGCCCATTTGGTAATATATTTTATTTGTGCTTCTCAGGAAGAGAACTTTTTTTTAAATACAGGTGGAATATGTCTCCTTAGCTTTAAATATGTTCTGAAACAACACATCCAAACTTTCACTGCTCAGAATTACTAATGGATTATGACAAGGAGATTTGGAGCAAGGGATGTGGCAACTGAAAGCCGTGATATTCCTGCTGAACTTTGCCTCTTAAAAATATGAATGGCTTGAATTAAAACAATAAGTCTGGAGTCACTAGGGGGAAAAAGGACAAATGTTTTACTGTATTTGTAGGTCACAAGTATGATATTAAAATCAAGTATTGGTCTAAAAAACTTGGACCTTCCTGTGATTAAAAATCTCTGTGATGTATTGCAGTTTTTTCCCTCTCTCTGTCAGAATGTGGTGTTGAGGACCCACCATCAATAAAGCTCAACATGACTCTCACCTCCAAATTAGCCAATAATGATTTTTAAACCTTTTAAGGTAGAATTTAAAACAGGTAGAAAAAAGCTCATAATATGATCACTCTTTGCATGCAGGTTAAAAATTCTGTCTTAGAAATCCTGATCCAGGCTTCACTGCATAGACATGAATATTGTGCAGTTGCTAAAGCTTAATGAACTTAAGTACTTAAATTTTTTAAGTACTGTATGAGACTAAAAAAAAATCAATTATAAATAAAACTGTGTTGGCTGAGCAAAAAAATGGGAAGCAAGAAGATAAAAATTCCAAGGTCCTAATCCTTTTTGCCTATTGTGTTGTGCTTTTATATGGGGATGATGCAAACAGATTCAAACTGAAATGTTCTTGAGAAAATAAGCAGCTGGAGAAATAGAATCTTACAATTTTTATTTTACAGAAAAAAATAATTGAGTGCCTTCAATTGACTGGTGCAGTATTTTTCCAGACCCTTAGAGGCTATAGATGGAAAGATTTCCAAGTTTTCTCCAGTTTTTACTGTGCATATGGTGGGGTTTTTTACATGAATTCAGGACTTGCTACACATAATATGTCTCAGTTTGCTATTCAAGTTGCTCTATGGTTAAAACCACCAACTCCTCTTACACATTCTGAAAAGAAATTTAACTCAAACCATTCTCCTAGGCATTAAAAAAAATAGTCTGGTGTTCCACATACTTAAAATGTCTTATTTCAGTTAATGTCACTGCTCAGATGTGAAAGCTGAGATAAAGTTTTCAAGAAAGAATCTGTTTCCTGGTTGATGATGTGTTCTTTTCATGCATTTCATTAAGTGACATGGGAGGGATATTTTGTTTCAATGAAACTTAACTTCTCATTATTGTTCATCAAAACTGTTATCAACTTTTTTTTTTTTATGTTATAAATTTTTTGTTCATTTCAGTTCTTTCCCTTAGTGTCACTTTCTCTTATCTCTTTCCAAAGTGTTAGTCCCTAGCTTCTTGGATAGTACTTGGAGTTTTCAGTAAGCTAAAGAGCTTAAAAATTTTGTCAGAATGTTTTGTAGTTTAGAATTATGTAATTGTTCCATCCTACTCCCAAATTGATGTTGCCTTTTGTCTCTTTTGCTTGTAGATATGACAGTGCTAAAAATACCTCAAGAAAAATATAAAAAATTATTCACAGTTTTACTGTCTGGCAGATCATTGAATTGTCTGGTTGGTTACTGCTGAACGTCAGTTCAGGAATAAGAAATAAAAGGAAAGAATTTCAGCATTGCTAATTAGGCTGTTGTTAGAAGAATGTTACATTATTACATTTCCTGTCTTTTCCTAATATTTTTTTTTTCCAAAAGGGGAAAAGACAGAAGGCTTGCTTGTTAGTACTCATTTGATGCCCTTTTTTCTGGTGTGTACTGTTAACAGGCATTTCAGGATTGTTTGTAAACTGGTCACTTAAGTGGGCTCATCATGGACTGAATACTTCTGCAGTGGTGCCATGTGAAGTTACCTGGCTGCCTGTGGCTGGTTACATAACTGAAAATGTAGAATTCATTAAAGTAGAGTAGAAAATATGCTTAATTACTTAGTGTATATTGTGAGGAGTCAAAGGAAGTGTTGCATCCCCTGCATTTGAAAGATTGAACCAATCTAATGTCAAAGAAGCAACACTTCCTCTACCACTTCTCTGGGGGAATTAATTTATAGCAAAAGATTCTCTTACCGTTAGGGGCTTTTGTTTGTTTGTTTGTTTTTAAATCTTGTGATTATTCTTATATTTATTTCATTACTCCTAGTTGTAACTCTTGGGACCACAAATGCAATTCACTTCCTCTTTCCTGTTTATATATTTTAAATGATTCCAGACCCTTATTCATTCCTCCTTTCCATTTGGCCAAAGCTGATAGGTTTATTAATATTGTTGGTAAAAACCTCAAATCTGAAATTTTAGCTGTATATAACTCTAGCAGATTTCCCAATGTTTAATAATAATGGTGCGTGGTGGAATGGGATTTTTATCTTTAAGCTGGAGTTACTTAGCATGGTGGCTTTTTTCCAAGGAAAATCTCTGGTTATTTCTGAATATACAGGGCCCACAGTTACAGTGAGAGGAGCAATTTCCTGGTTCTTTTGTATTTTTGAACAATATTTAATATTATGATAAGGGTTGTTCAATATTTTTCCCTGCCATATTTGAACAAAATCTTCTTACAAAAATAATCTCCAATATTTTCAACACTATTGTTGTAGGCACTCTTTACTATCTGGTTGGATGCTTTTCATATTAATTTGATATTCTTGATAAAGTTTTGAGGGTAGAGTATGCTTCCATTAAAAAAGAAAAAGCAGTAAACTGGTAGAAGTATCATCAAGCCTCAGGTTTTTGATACAGAAATTAATAAATTCCGGAAGAACTGCTTTGTTAATTAGTTTTGGGGTTTTCACTTTTTTTTAATGTTTGGCAAAGTTGAGTTAAAATTTTTTATTAATGTGTATTGTGGTGTTCTGGTTTTTTGTTGTTAAATTTTGTTTGATGTTTTTCTGGTGTGCATTGGTGTGGATAATTACCAAAATTCACATTTCCCTTTTCTCCTAATTCTGCTAGGGAAAATTCAGCATCTGTGAAAGTGAACTAATATTGAGCCTGTGATGTAACTGTGTGAATAAAGTAATGACCTGAGCTCTGAAGTGAGGACTGTGTTTAATGTTAATTCTTCCTCTAACTTGTAGTGCAGCCTGTGTTATTTTAAGCCATGTCAGTGTGTCACCAAGAAGGCAGTGTAATCCTTCAAAGCAGTTCTAATGAGGGTTAACCAATATCTGCTCTCAATATCTAAAAATATAAATTTTAAAATTGATGCGGCTTATTGTCCCTGATTCGTTTGCATATGGTGAACTGCCAGGTACTGCTCATTAAGGAAATCAATTAATTTTGGCTAAATGGTTGATTGCTTCCTGCTTAATATCTATCTTCAGGGTGTGTGAGAATGGCCAATGTACAAATGGGACGCACGGTGCTACTTCCGAGACAAAGAAATCCAAACATCCGGAGTCAGGTACGTTCTGAATTTTTGTGTTGTTTGCCGACAAGACTGACTCTGTGCTGCCCTAGGGGTGCAGCAGGAAAACATTCACTTCTTGTGGTTGTGTCATTCAGGAGATGTCTGTGCTGCACCTTCTGTTCCGGTACCTTTGCCTCCTGCACGGGCTCCTGCCAGAGACAACCCCAAACACAGCACTTTGCTCACCAGGACGCCCTCCGATTATGATCTTCTGGTGCCCCCTTTAGGTTGCAGATTTTTGCTGATTACATGTAATGGTTAACGCTGCCCAGATCAACTCAATGCCATGTTTACTGAAAAACAGCCAGTGTTGAGTAGGTTAGGAGTACCAAACAGGCTACGAGCTAAATATTACATCTATAAGCCAGTATTTGTGTCATTTGGAGTCTGTTTGTAGGGCCTCACTAGAGACAGACAAAAAGGTATACTAAATCTGTATTCCAGCTATACAGATAAGTAAAAACCATTTCCCCTAAAATAAATTTTAATTGTCTCTTACTAAGAAGTTTGAGCATTGCAACTTAATGCAGTAGTGGAGCGTTTTTTCTACTGTAGCTTAAATAATTCTATTTAGTTTATCAAATACAAAGAAGAATACCAAAATGATGGTATTTAAGTAAAAAAACAAAACCACTAAATTAAATTAATAAGTTAATTTCTAGGATTTTTTTCCCCATCAAGGGACAGTTCAAAACTTACTGCTGTCTACAGTCACCAAAATCTCTTTTTTCCAACCCTGGTTTCTGTTCTGTTCTACACAAAAATCAATGATCTCTGTATATATATTGGTGCTATGCTTGGGGACCACCCACAGTTTCATTGACAAATTCACTTGCATGGTTGTGTCTGTATGTGTCAGCATCCAAATTTCTGGTTCCATAAAAGCTTTTGAACATTTGCCTTGTTCCTGCACTGTGCTCTTTCTAATCCCTGAAGTGTTCCTGAGATGCAGGAGAAATGCAGGCAAAATAACACATAAAAATCACAGTGCTTGGTAACTCTAGTCCTGGTTTCACCACCTTTGTGTAAGAGGTGCATTCTTTAGCCAAGCTCTAGAAATTTCCATTTATATCTGGAGTCAGAGCTTCTGAACAGCAGATAGAGATAATTTCCAGTGTAAATGTAGCAGATTGAGTGCAGTCAGAGTTGGTGTTTGTATATAAATACACTTGCTTAGCCACTGAAATACAGCTGTTACTCTACAGTGATACTCAGTGAAGCTTTCACTGTAGTACACTCTTGGCAATTGAGTCACTTAAATCTCTGCTTCCATCCAGAAAAGAAACTGAGCACTGCAAAAGGTCATCCAGAGCATGTTTTAGAAGAGGACTGTGGGTATTAGCAGGGAGGTTCACACTTTCATTACTGGAGTCACTGAACTGCTTAGATCAGCCATAGGAGTAAAGGCCTCAGCAGCCAAAGAAAAATAAAGCTTTATTTTCTATTCTGCAGTTCTTAATGAAGTTTTGCTCATCTGACAATTCATTTCTAAACTGCAGGTGAAGATGCATTTGATAACTCGCCCCCCTCACTCCCACCACCACCACCACCTGCTCGGCACAGCATGATTGAGCACACGAAACCTGCTGGCTCAGGGAGCCGACCCTCTTCAGGACATGAACTGTTCCTTCATTCTGGTAGGAATACAGAGGAAACAGCATGCTTTATTTTATTTTCCTTTACTTCAGAGGCATATCTGTTCAGTGATAAAGTTGTCACCAGGCCTTAGAACTCATTGTACAAAATACAAAAAACATCAAAATTTTAAATGGTGGAGGTGAAGCTACTCAGAAGTTAGAAAGACTTCAGTTTTCATTATCACAAAGTAATAAAGTGAGGTCAATATTTCTATACCAGGCTAGAAAATTTGTAAATTGTAGTTTTCTGTTGTAATCTGTAATATTAGTCTGTATCTGTCAGCTCCATTGTTTTCAATAGTAAAACATAATTCATGGGGGATATTTTCAAGTTGAAACTTTAAAAGAACTTGTAAAATAAGGGAAAAGAATATTCTACTTTGTTAGAACTGTAGTAAAATTTTGCTACAAAACTATATTGTGGATAGAGTAGCTAGGTCCTGGGATTCATAACCTTTTTGCTAAGTCAGGCTTTCACCTATCTTTCCCTGTAAATCACTGTGATACATTCAGTCTGGTATTTGCTTATAAAAGGTATGAAAACTCTGTTTACAATTCATGATTATTGTCTTTGAGTTGAAAAGGGTTTGATTTTCAGGTTAATGAAATTGAATGCATTTGCTGATTATGATACAGATTACAGCAGGATTTTTGTGGGTTATAGTGCACGTCTGTGAAGTGATTTTTAAATTCTTTTTTCTCTGTGGAAGCTTTCAAAGGATGTTGGTATCTTAAGTTTACCTTTTCTGTGAATATTTTTAGGGATGACCTGCCTTGTGGTGGGGTTAGATGTTGTCTTCCCCCTCTCTGTTTTACTTAGAAGCTTGATGGAGGGGGATAAAGTGAAATATTTGGTGGTAGTTTCACAGGAAGGCCAGGATGGGATGACAAGCAGTCATGTGCCAGCTGCATGATGGCCAGACAGGTTCCCTGGTGTTTGGCTGACCTGTGTGAGTGGAACTCGCTGTGGGGGGAAAGGAAACCACTTTAGGTTGAAGTGCAGTGACCTTTTATGGAATGTTTTTATAATGTGTGTTTTGCTATCAGTCAAGGCCTGACACTGAGTAATTTGCTTAAGTTTTGTGTATTTTATAATGCAAATTCAACTCAGTGTGTTACTTTCTCATCGAATTTGCTGAATGCATCCAGGTGAAAAGACTTAGCTCACTACAGAATTTAAAGGTTGATGTTCATAGATACAGTGTGGTTTATCTCCTACACTTCAAAATAAAAACAATGTAAACTTCAGCAGTCTAGTCTGAATGAGTGCCTCAATTATATCATCTGATGCAGAAACACACAGTGCATAATTCAGTTATGATGGGAATGGAAAGGAAAAATAGCAGCCCTCATACACAGATGCAAACAAGCTCCATCTGCCTGTGCCCAGTGCCCAGAAACATGCAAAGTTTTAGATGTTTAAGTGTAACTTCCAAATAATCTAAGAACATCACTGATAGTGTTAAAAAACATTTAATAGCTTTAAAATAAATATCTGGAATATGTAGCTACAGCCTCGTATTGTTCTTCATATTTGCATAAGCAATACAACCGTACAGCAGCAGTTCTCATTAATCTTAGCAATGTATTGCATCTAGTTAGGCATGCATGGTTGTGTGAATTGGTCTTTTTTTATTCATATGGTATTTCTAAAGCCATATTACTCACTTTGCATCTTGTCACATAATCTATTGTAGAAGATTTATGATGAGTTTTTGATGATTGGTTTCCATACAAGTCTTGAGGGTGATTTCTCAGCTATCCATCAGAGCCTGTCAGGTTAGAATAATAATCTCATCATCAACACCAGCCAAAAGTTGTTCTCACATACAAAACAAACACTCTGCAAGTACTGAGGCCAGGGAAGAAGCCAGATCCAGGATGGTGTTGCACTTGCTCAGCAGCATCTTTGGTAGCCAAAGAAAAAAGAAAAGAAGGGGATGATATATCAGAATTGTTTATTTCTCTCATTTTTCAAATTCTGTCCCTGTAATATTTACCCATAGCTGGGACTGTTTGAATAGGAAATCAGCCCTGCAGTCTTTGTGAACTGCAAAGCACAGAAGTGTAATGAAGGTCTAAGCAAAATAAATAGCTGAGATGTTTCTAGTTGTGCTGCTTCAGGCACTGCAGCCTCTTCCATGCTTTCCATGCACAATCCCAGCAGCATCAGGGTTGGGTGGTTGAAAAGTACCTCATGGATGTGAGGAGAGTTCAGGACAGACCACCTCTAAGCTGTGCTCCTGTGTTTGTCACCTCAAATCATACTTACATGTGTACTATCGATGCTTAATTTGGGGTTTTGTGTGCATATGCTGTCAGGGGACACCTCTGGATTCATGGTTCCTCTGCATGATGGGAGGCTATTCTAATCCTATTCTATTCTACTATAATCCTATTCTAATCCCTCCCTCAAATAGAAATTCTGCTTATTCTAAGGCAGTTTTTTAATTCTTTTATCACAGATCCCCATTTTGACCCAACAATAGGTCATGTTCCTTTGCCACCTGCTCGGAGAGCACCCGGAGAAAATGTCAAAACAAACAGGACATCTCAAGACTACGATCAACTTCCTCCATCTTCAGGTAAGGCAGAAAGCTGTTCTTGTAGAAAATTGCAATTTTATGAAGAATATAACTTTCATCCATAAAGTCCAGTGAGTTTTTTGTCATTCTGGGCAACAAATGGCAATGGTAATGTTGCTTTACAAAAGTATGAAATCATTGAAGGATAACAGAGACTTAAGTTCTGCAATAGAGGTAGAAGTGGCTACTTGTTGTGTGTAGGTGTATATACTATAGCATCCATTTTACTAGCTGCCAAACTGAATGCTTATGTGAGTTATAGTGTTCCTTTATTTTTTGAGAAAGGCAGAGATTTTCCTGACATTTTTCAAGCTCGTAGGAGATCAGAAGTACTAAAAAGGAGCACAAGCATCTAATTTCCATATTTGTTTCATTTCTCCTAAACAAAAAGTAGTAGCTTAACCTCTCTAAAGTATTATTATTTTCTGTCTCTTTTGCTAATATGTTTGTCTGAATTTCTAAGAAACTTTTAAGATATTTCTTAATAAAATAGCAAGAATTAAAATCACTTTAAATTCAGTCTTCCTTTTCAAATGAACAGGTACAGTAGAAAAAATTCCTCTACCAAAGAAATTTTGGTTATGGTTTCAGGCAACAAAAATAGTAAATTTAAAGGAAATCTACTAAGTGGATAAAAAAAATAACAGTATTACCTGTATATCAAAGTACCTTCACCAGTTTTTAGACAAATTTCTTTAGATGTGCATGGGGAAGGGGGAGGACTGGCCCAACCACATTATTTTCCTGCATGAAGAAGCCACACAAAGAAAAAGCCAAGTGATGTTTGGTACCATTAATCATTCTCCAGATAGATAAAATTTTGTGTGGAGACCTTTTATGCATAAAGAAAAGGACTTTTCTCTAATCTTTCAGTTGTAATAATCACCATTGTTCAATTGAAGCATTCTCAAGTGGAAAAAAAAAAGATATATTTTTTTAGTAGTAATTGCAATCTCCTCCTCAGAAATCCAGATTTTCATACTGCTGAGGTATAGGGGGAAAAAAGAGTAAGTTTTCCAACTTAAATGGGGGGAAATTTCTGTAGCTCTCTTTAGGCTTACTTGTTTTTTTAATGAATAGCATAATTGTGAATTAGTGTGATGCCTTTGGTAAATGCTATCACTTTTGGGAGAGTATCTTTACAAATATAGCTATTTCTCTTTTTGTTTTACAATTGTTGGAAGAAAAGAGTTTATAATGCTTTATATGTGGCATTGTGAGGGATCTATTTGTCTTAAAATGCTCAGTCAATTTATTCAGGTTGTTTTGAGTCCTCTTATAATGCAAATTATGACAATGATGTGTCATATCTTACTTTTAAAACCATGGAGTTTTCCTGCAATTCTTGCACTTCTAAGATAGAGCAATTTTTAATTTTCCTAAATTACTGCAAGATACTTGCTAATTAAGAACTTGGAGCTTTCTGATGCTACTTAATACTTTTTGATCTGTTTCCCACAGCCATCGTCTAAAACACTCACGTGTCAGCTTTTGCTATAAATATCATTCTAAATCAGCATGATATGCAGCAAGATATTCCGTTTAATTTCAATTAGATGAAAACTATGTGATAGATCATGTCATTCTCTTAATTGGAAAGTTGTTTTTACGGTGTCAGTAATTCCAAAGGACAGAACTGATGAGCTACAGGATGAACAGGTTCACCTTCATCTATGATTTAAAAAGACAATGTTGAGAGCATAACAGTATTCAGAACTTTGGTTTTGCATTTATTCTGAACTAATCAGCTCACTTAAGAAATTCTTCATTTCAGTGCTTTTTGTAAGGTGGTTCTCTGAGCTAGCTGAAAGATAAATGGAGTTCACTCTAAAATCTAATTATAATTTAGCCACTGGGTTCCTAGAGTAGCATGGACAGTGCCTTAATGTCTCTGCTTCACTTTCACTGTTTTTAAGATTGCTGTCGTGATGTTTAACTGAATCCTTAAAGTCTACTGAGTAATTTATTCTAATTCAGATACCCAGTATTGAACACTTCAGAAATAGTACCCACTCCCCCAGAGGCATGGTTTCTCAAACTTCTTATATACAACTGTTGAAAATTACTACAAAAAGACCAAGAAAAAGAGATAAGACTTGGGGGGGCTGTGGATAAGAGGTGGGACATGAGCTGGCAATGTGTGCTCAGAGCCCAGAAAGCCAAAAGGGTTGCATCCTGCTTTCCTGGGCTGCATCCAAAGCAGTGTGGCCAGCAGGGAAGAGGAGGGAATTTGGGCACCTCTGCTCTGCTGTCATGAGACCCCACCTGGAGAAACACATCCAGCATAAGAAAGCCATGGAGCTGCTGGAGTGAGTCTGGAGAAGGCCACCATGGTGATAAGAGGGAAGGAGCACCTCTCCTGTGAGGAAAGCCTGAGTCAATTTGAATTGTTCAGCCTGGAGAAGGGAAGGCTTTGGGGTCACCTAATTGTGGCCTTCCAGGACATGAAGGGAGAGGGACTTTTTACAAGATCGGGATGAGGGAGAACTGAAGGAGATCAGAGGAGGTATCAAGAATTTGTTCTTTACTGTGAGGATGGTCAGGCCCTGGCTCAGGTTTTCCAGAGAAGCTGTGGATGCTTCATCCCTGGAAGTGTTCAAGGCCAGATTGGATGTAGCTCTGAGCAGTCTGGTCTAGTGGAAGGTGTCCCTGCCCATCTAGGGGTGGGATTAAATTATCTTTAAGGTCCTTTCCGGCCCAACCCATTCTGTTATTCTGTGATATTGCTAATAATTATAGAGTATTTTAACTAAGCACAGCCAATAATATGAGGGAAAGGAAGAAGACTATTAAGCCTCTAATTGATGTCTGTTCTCTATTTTGCTGAACTTAGCTATTCTGTAAGATACAGATTCAAATGATTGGTTAATGTATATGCCTGCTGCCTATTCATTCCCTCAGTTGACCTTACGAAAACACTTGCTTGCAAATTTGGATTTCTTTTACAAGAATATTATTCCAAGGTGTATTTCAGTTAACACTGGAAGAAATAATGCAATCCACAGTATTGCAAAGTACAAAGATAGTGCCTTGATGGAGCAGTAGTTGGTCCTTCCCTCACCTTCTCCCTGCTCTCTGAGCTCCTTGGAGCAGTGTCCCCTGGGTGTGCTTTGTTGCTGTACCCCAGTTAGGTGAGGTGTAGCTGCTTGCCCCTGTTCCACAGCGAGCCTTTGTCACCTGCTTCTCTGAGGCTCGGTGGAAGACCAAGTGTTGGGGAAGATGAAATAGGAAAGCTTTATAAATATATCTGCCTGGCAAAAGATTTAGAAAATACAGAGATTGAGATGGTAACAAGTTGTGACATACCAAACCTTAGTTACTGAACAACCAGAAAACAATAGTACAGCCAGGATGAAGACAATTCTGGTTGAACAATGCCCTTACTTACAGATAGGTCCTGTGGGAGTCCAGGGCTTCCCTCTGGCTGCCCTGAAAGGTCTGGGACCCTGGCAGGGGTCAGGAACCCCCCTGGACAGAGCCCCCAGAGACACTGTCTGTGATCTCTGTCCATGAAAAAGAGTTTTCAATCTTACAGGATCAGTTACAAGCTCTGAGTGTTTGATATCAGTAATAATTAAGTGTGGCATGGGTGCAAAAGTAAAATTTTAGGATTCTAGATAAGGGGTTCAAAGGGGACAAGATGGAGGAAATTGGGTGTGTCTTGTCCTTTTTCTCCTTCTTCATGCCCTCCATGTTTCACTGTGGTGTTGGCATTTTTCTGTTGGTTCAGGCTGGGGACACACTGTCCAACGTAGGTGACAGATATTGGCACGTTATTGTAAATCCAGCACAGGTAGTTTGTGGTATTTAATGTTTGTACCATCCCACTGAGGGCAGAGCCCCACACGCTGCCCTGCAGGACAGAGCTGCGGCAGGGCAGCAGAACATGTTAGAGATAAACAGAATAAACAACCTTGAAACAGCACAGACCAATTATGGCTTCTGCTTTGGCAGTGGGGCTGACAGACAGAGACTTTCTACAATCTCGGGATCATCAATAGCACAGATTCCGACAAGGTCCAAAGGTTAAATGGGCTGTTGGATCTCACCCCAATGTATGGTTCATCCCACACCTGTAACCCTCCCCTGAAGCATCAGGAGTCTGTGACCCCATTGGCCTGAGTCTTGTTCCAGCCCACCCTGAACCCCCTGACAAGGAGTCCCTGAGGAGCCAGACGCTCTCTTGGAACTTCCCTTCTCTTGGAACTGCCCCTCTCCTGAAACATCCTCTTGGGATCCTCTCTTATCTCCCTCTACCCCTTGCCTTGGCATCCTAACACAGCCTCTCCCACTGTGCCATAGAGCTCTCACTGCTCTTCCCATGCTTTTTAAGCACTTATTAAACAAGCCTGTGTCTGCCTTTGTGCTAACCCCTTACCTAAGGGCTCAATCTTGTGCTGAATTACAGAAATGGGAGTGGTGGAGGAAGCTGCTTGTGGTAGAAACTGTTAATTGAATTGCACAGTTAGAAAAAAATTCTATTTTGAATTTTTAGTTAGACGTCTGTGATGGCTGAAAATCAGAGGATGGGAGGTAGGGAAGGAAAGTTCTGCTTAATACCTCTATCTCAGTGTCCAGATGGACATGCAGCTTAGGCTTAGTATCTTTAAGCTCAGGATCCAATATGATATCCAGCTTTAGCTGAAATTTTATATGGATGTGAAGATATTGAAAGAGATGTCAGCGTTTAAAAAAATAATAATGGGAATTGAGAGGGAGCGCTGAAGATCTCAGAGTATCTGTGCCATAGAGAGATGTCACTGTGGTGAGAATAAAATGCCTATGCTTCAAATCTGCTGACAGAATTAAAAATGACCTTTCTAAATTATGTGATTGCTTAATAAAGTTTGTTTGAAGGCTTCAGTGAAGTGAAGGTTTTAAACACTAAATAACTTCAGTTTTAAGCCTCTATTAGGCTGAGTCAAGCAAAAATATCCCCATGTAACACAAGCACAGGGAAGGATCTGATTTATGCATAAGGAATTTCTTCTATACTTCAAGCCCAGGGGAAAATTTAAAGTTTGTAAATTTAATTTTGTTTCATACTGTATAGAAATGAAGTCCATAATGGAATGTACATATTAAAACAGCTTGAAGGTTTGTGAAAGAAAACTGATTGGTTTTAAATGACGTGCCATTATTCTTAAGATAAAGAATATTATTCTTTTGCAGTCTTCAGTTTCCTAAAATAACTGAAGTGAGAAATTTGTACTTGTTTCTGATTCAGTTTTTAGTGATTAACTGCATTTCCTGAGGTATAGTTAATTTCTCAGGCAAATGTTTCATGGATCTTCCACACCTTCATAGCAGGTTTGGATCTGCTTCAGAATGTTTATCATTTACATAATTCTTTTTATCTTCAGAGAGAAAAAAAATAAAAACAAATATGAAGTAGCCCTTAGTACCATTAGGTCTTAGCCCCTTACTGTAAATGTTTAATCAGATTTCTTTCATCCATTTGTCATATGAATATCACCATCTTACTAAAAGTACTATTAACTTTCTGAATTAAGTGGAATTAAATTTTATAGCAACATGCATCCAAATTGATGGAAAAGTAACTTGAAAGGAAAATACACCTGCATTAAACATGCTCTTGTGTGAACTGCTTTCATTTATCTGAAGTGTTTAATGCACTGGGTTGAATTATAGTTCTCTCTTTCCAGTGTTATGATAAGGTTGCAACAAACATATTAGAAATATAGCATTTCTTCCATGCCTAAAGAGTTGTCTCTGAAGTACTTAACACTGGAAAATGCCACTGCTCTCAGTGTAAGTAAACAGGAAGTATCACAGCCAGAAATTCCTCTAATTTATCTATCAAAGTCACTGTTGATAGGACTTGTTAAAACCCTTTTTGAGGGATTAAAGACTTTTTAATTTTTTAGATACTTTGCTCTTGAAAGTGTTTTTGGTGCTGTGCCTGCTTGTATTTAAGCTTCTTATTGTGGAATCAGTGAGGATAAAGGCATTTCAGTAAAGTACCAAGTTTACTTGAGCACGAAACTCTTGACTCTGAGAAGATTAGCAAGTTTGAATATTAGCTTTTTTTTCACCAGCACATCATGATTCTTGGTCACCAGCATTAACTGTGAAGGTAACCTTTCCATAGAAGATAGGAACCTGGGAGAGATTTCCAAAGGGGGACTGGAGAGGAAGGAACGTGTTCTGTTCTCCTCATGGGAATAATGGGGCTGGAGGTCTTTTGGAGAATGCATTTATTTATGTATTTATGTGTAGCTGCTGTGCATGACATGAATAGCAATTGAATGAACAGAATCTAGAAGATGGACCAATAAATCAAGGATTTTTCTCCTTCAGGCGTATTTGTCTGGATTCCTCTTGTACACAACTTATGGTCTTCAATACAATTGTAATCAAATTTGTGTCTGGGCTTTCCTCATTTGTTTGTTTTTGTACAGTTTTTGGGTTTTTTTTCTTGGGACTTTTGTTTCTTTGTGGGTTTTTTGTTAGTTTTTGTTGTTTTGTTTGGTTGGGTTTTTTTTACTCAGATATTCTCAATTTGTGGGTTGAGAGTGGAGAGTGTTTAAGAGTTTGACTGGCTATTTTCACTGTCTCTCCTGTTCCATCATATTTTATTTTTCTTCCAATTTTCCAGATTGTAAATTGCATGTTCCTATATTATTATTATCATAGTATATTGCTACATTATTTCCATCCTACATTTCTTGAGGACTTCAGCCTCTGTCAAAATTCTAAGATGAGCTGTATCGATTAACTAAAATATTTCTCTATGTTCCTTTAGAATTTTACTTTTAAAACAGCTTCATGGGGTTTGACCAACATATAATACAGTCTTAGGCCAATTTATAATGATTTTTATCTCTTTTATTTGAAACAGATGGTTCACAAGCACCAGCCAGGCCCCCTAAACCACTTCCTCGAAGAACTGCACCAGAAATACATCACAGGAAACCATACAGCTCTGACAGTTCCACGGAAAATGTGGATGCAAAAATTGCAAAACTTATGGGAGAGGGCTATTCCTTTGAAGAAGTCAAGAGGGCACTTGAAATTGCCCAGAATAATGTTGACGTGGCCCGCAGTATTTTAAGAGAGTTTGTCTGCTTTCCTCCACCCGTCTCCCCACGTCTCAATCTATAGCAGCCTCAAGATTTTCTTGGAGCATATGAATTGTACAGATACACATGTGGATTGGGGAATGAGAGGAAGAACAGAATGGAATATTTTTCTTCCATCCTTAGCAGAAGGGTGTTTGTTTCCAGCCGTTTATCAAAGGCTCCTGGCTGCTCTGATCAAGACTTATAAATATGCTGAGGCTTATGTATTTTTGCTAGCCATACTTTTTTAAATCAGGGTTGAACTTACAAAATAATTTAAAAAAAAAGTTTACTTCCTTAGAACTTTTAATCTGTGAAATGCTTTTTCTTGTTTACAAGTTGGCAAGTTACAGTTTTCTAGTTTGTGCCTGTACTATGTCATGTTTATATTCCCTGTACTTGTGGTCAGTTCTGCTGTAGCATTCCCAACAGTTTCCATGCTGACCACTCCATCAACTAAATCATCAATTTCCAGAAGTTCTGGTTTTCTTTTGGTCTTTTTTTTTTTTTCTTTTATAAGATGCTTTAATTGTGTTTTGCATTTCAGCTCATCAAATGCAAAAAGTATGTGGCCTTCACTACTGATTTTTTTTTTTCCTTCTGAGATTCCTTTGCTTTTGAGAGAGGACATACCTGAATGTAAAACACATTGTTCTGTGAACTGCCTTTTTAAAGGTATTTTGACAGTAGTTTTGGACAGCTTTGTTTAACAAGAATTCCATGACCTGTAGTCTCAAGGTCTTTTATACAGTGTTTCCACAAAAAAGTCCCAACCAACAAATAAAACACTTCATGCAGCAGTGATACTGAGTTCTCACATGTAAAATCTCTTTCAAAATTGGTATTTGATTGCAGATGTTCAAAAAAAAGCCAAATGCAGCATGATAATACTGTGTTTTGATTACACACTAATGGCACCAATTCTTCATGGCAAGACTAAAAGGAATCTTTTTCCATGATATTAAAGGTATTCAGATAAATTCCAGTTCTAGATTCAGTAAAGTAGAATGCGGTTAATGTTTTGTCTGAGTGATTATCCTGTGGGTCATTGTGGCTTGGATCAGTTTGTATTAACTTGGAAACTTTAAATCTTTGATGCACTGTTAATTCCTAATGCTACTGTAGCAATATTTTTTGCAAAGTTTTTTAATAACCTCCTCCCTCCCCTGTACACTTGATAATCCTCAAGGATGTGTTTAGCACCCAAATTCTTTCACTCACTTTCCAGCTGCTTAGTTGGAAATACATTTTTGCTTTACTTGGTTAGTTATACACCAAACTTTGACATTTTATTTTTGAGCCCAAATTGATGCAAGCCAATTTAAAAATCGTCCTTATTTTAAAAGAGAGAGAGAAGACAATTCTATTCTGAGTACTTTCAAAGTTGAGTCCAAATATTTTCAGAAAAATTCTTAAGATTGCTGCTTTCTTGGTTTTTTAGGAAACTTTGAAATTTTTCTTCTAATACTATTGAACAAATAAAACCATGTGGTATTTAGAATATTTTTCTCATTTTGATATGTGATGAGTATATGAAAATTTTCGGGTGGTGAAGTATATATTCATTATTCCCTTTTAGGTATTAGTGTTCTCTTTCACTGTGAGCAAGTACTAGAATTTATATCACTTACAAGATCAGATCTCACCAGCCAGTGCATTTGCTGTAAAGATGTTTTCAAAGGCAGCACGTGGCTGAACTGCAGGTTTGAAGTAACTGAGAACACCCATTGGAAATTACTCTGCTATCTCAAATTCCTGTTGTTTCATGAAAAAACTTGTTCTTAAAACTGATTAAATTATTTTGTAGCATCACAAAGCATAGTATGGATATTGCTTTAATCTTCCTCAGTGATAAAAGATGATCAGGAGAATACAGGGTATAGGGAAGAGCTGCTGCTGCATTTGGATTTAAGCAAATGCTTCTGAGTTTATGTTGCAGGAAAAGACATTTGCATCTTCCTGTAATTGTTCATTCCTCAAGTACAGCTTAGGAAGAGTTTTGGTGTGAGTTATCGTCTGTGCTTTTGACTCAAGTTAATCTCTTTCCTCTGTTTTAGGAGAAAATTTTGTGTCTTATGGAACCCTCTTGTTCATTTGGTTTGTTTGCAACATCACTGTAGCATTTTAGCTAGCTATAAATTGAAAATGATTCAGGCAATTAAATTATACACTCTGGTTGTACTGGAATTACTGAAATGAGGTTCTAGCATAACTGCCAGCATAGCAATGATGAAAAAAAGAGCACTTTACAAGGACGAACAAACAGTCTTCAGAATGAGTTTTGAAATTTTGAATTGTAATGAAGAACTCATTTTCTCCTTTTTATGCAGCAGCTTAGTATAAATTACATCCTTATATTTCAATTAGAGGCTGGAACTGCTGCCTGATAGATTAAGGTTTTTAAAGTTTTCCTTCCTTCTGGTTGTGACCATTTATTTTTTTATTATGTGTTAAAAAAACAAACTTGATTAGCAATATTTTGAGTGGTAACTTGAAAAGATTTCCACTGATCTTTAAATGAGTGTGCTAATAACACTTCTAAATAGTGGAACGTGCAGACTGTTTCAGACCTGTTCTGGTTAGTAGTTTGAAAGTCAAACAGCAAAATCGCCTTGCCTAGAGTGTTGATGTTTACTCTGCAGGAATTAATAGGCTTAAAATAAATTAATCTGGCTGGAGTCTAGTTCTCTAAACATACTTTTAACCTTTGAAAGACTTAAGGGTTTGAGCCTGGCAGTGTGTTATGCACTTATATAACTTTAAGGAAGACTGACTTGAATGAGTGCTGGGGTGAACAAAGTTGATTAAACTCAGAAACATTTTAAGTCTTTAGACCATCCTTGTGTTGTCTGTTGGTGTCACCTTTTCTGTCCTTTCGGCTGAGTTACTGCATTTTGAGCAAATTGGCTGAATGAGAAGTTGAGTAGAGCAAGTGGACAAGCAGCACAGATCTTTTCTAAAGGCTTTGTGTAGGAAATATTTAAATTATGGTAAAGGAAACTAATATAATTAGCCGTGTTAATGGCTTGTCTGGAACCCTAAAATGGCCACTGGTAAAATTTGTTACTGTCCAGTATCTCAAGAGTGCATCTGGCACAGCTTTTTTACAATGTGAATTTAGGAAATTTTGTACCAGGATCATTTCTTCTGTTGTATTTCTCTCATTTTCAGCTTGAAGCTTTACTTTGCACTGACAACTCTGACCTGAAATTTGTGTCTTAAATATTGACAAATTTTGAAGCAAATGAGCACCGTATTCAAAGCAAATTCAGGTGCTACCTGATGACCTGGAATTCAACGTTTTTAGGAGTGACTTCTTGAAAAAGGACTTCAGCAGTTTCCATTTTGAAGGATTTTCTTTCAAATAACTATTTTATCTGAAAATGCCTTTTATAAACTTGTCTAATGTGGCAAATTTAGTGATGTGTTCAATTAATTTATATTTTATTCAACATTCTTTTTAAATTTTGGTTATTATGTATGCTCAAGTTCTTTAACTGTTCATGTAAGGTATTTTATAAAATTAATGTTAAGAGAATGTTGGGTTGGTCCATGATTTTTCAAGACTCTGTCTCTGTTATTGAATATTATCACTTTTCACATGATGGTTTAGCAACATAGCCTGTCCTGTGTAGGGACCTTAAACGACATTGTTTTGTAAGCCACAAAAATGAGGCCTTGCTCTAAAATAAGGTGAATCATTGCACTGAGACATGTGCTTTTTATACCCATACATTACCTCATTTCTAAATTTCAGTAGTGAAAGTTAATAAATTGGCAGTAATTTTGGAATGTGCATGTAATAGCTGTATAGCAGAAAAATGCTAACCATTAAATATTTAGAATCCAAAGTGGTGAACACATAGTCCGACTGTATATTAATTTGCAGGATTCTTTTCCTGAAGAAAACTGCAATAATTGACACTTATATTTTTTTAATATCCCGGGAATTTACATTCTCAAACATTGTACTCTTAATGTCAGAAATATTTTAGCTGTGTAGAACATTTTTCTCCTGTTACTGTATCCCAACATTCTGGAAAAAGTTTAGAAAATCAAACCCCTCTGTTATGCATGGCAATACAAGTGTTGCTATTTCAACCTCAGCACTCTTCCCTGCAGTTGGATTAGACCTTCAGTGCTGAAATTTTCATGGTACTTCTTCAGTGTGTTAAATCCTTGTCTAATATGTATGTCACTAGCCATCTTGCTAATTAGATAATTTATCTATTTCTGTCAATTTTACTCTTATGTGAAAGTTAGGTGTTACTTTATTGTGTTACAATCAAATTTTAGCAGCTGGGTGCTCTAGGAATATTTCAGGATTTTTTATTGGATAGTCCCAGTCATTATTCTGTGTGAGATACCTGCCTCCATTAACCAGTTTCAGTAAGTTTCCATCAAGAAATTGATAAGTTTAGATTTTAAAACACTGTGTGTTACTGTGACATATGAACATTCCATTTGCCCTTAGATGATCTCATGCCTAGTATTGTCTCAGTGATTATACAAATTCTCTGCTCTGTATCTGAATGGCCCATGAGCATGGTCATCCAAAATATTTTGAGAATTCTATGAGAAAGCTTATTTTCTTTATTATCAGGGTTTTTTTCCTGTTCCCTTCTTGACCTGGAAGACCACTCTTATGGTCAGGGATGAAGATGAAATTCACTCTCATTTCAGCAGATCCCTGTTTTGCTTCTGAGCTGTGAAAAGAAACTAAGACAGATGACATCTTTTAGTAATAGTCCTTCTATTTGAGATTAATTGTGTCTAAATATATGGGATTTAAGAAGTTTGTCCAATGAATTTGGTTTGTATCTTGAGGACTCACAAAAACCTTTGCTTACTTTTAGTACTAATTGAGGAGCAGGTGGAAGGGATGAATTTTATAAGATGTGTCAGTGAAATTGAGAACTTACTTTCACATAGAGGGAATTGATGAGCAGCTGGGATAAAAGATTGACCTTTGAAATCAAAGAGGTAAGTACCATATAGCCTGAAAATTCTCACACAAAGAAGGTAAAAGCACTGTATCTAAATGATTCCACCAATGGCCTCCAAAAGACTTTTCTTCCTCATTTGTCAGGTAATCTTGCCCATATGTTGGCTGTGTTGATGACAATTTTGTAGCTTTTGAGGTGAACCAATATCTGTGAGCATGACCAGAGACGGGTTTGTGGGTGTGCATGCTGCTGCCTGGGGGAGGATATTATTATTATAACATTATAGTTTTCCCAAATTTTAACAGAAATGGGTGCATTTCATTAGCACAGTAGTGTGGATTGCCCCACTGGACAAGATCCTCCAGTGGCAGGACAGCTGGATGGTGAGGGAAGGGTTGAGAATGTACAACCTGGCTGAGCAAGGAGGTGCTAGAACTGTGATTGTCTGGGGGGAGCAGGAATGTTGTGTAATCTAAGCAGGAGGCAAGGGAATCAGATGAGAAATGATATTTGGTGCAAACTTAGAGAAGTGTTCCAGAGTGTGGGTAGAGGGGGGAATTTGAGTTGTACCATACAAGAGTGTGCTTTAGTGGGGGAAACCTTACTTGCCACACTTGGGGCAGAACACAATTACATGAAAAGGAGTTTATGTTCCTGCATGAATCATTCCAGAGTGATCTGTGCCATAGTTAATGCCCTTTTTTTAGTGTCTGCCCTCACACCACTACTCTTCACACACAATCACACACCAACCCCACCTTTGCTGTGGTCTGTGGCACAGCACTGAAATTCTTTGTGGCAATCTGCTCAGTCAGTTCTCATAGAGGCATTTTTTACCTGTGATTTGAAGTGAGGTTTCCAGGCCCTTCAAGGCTTTTCTGTGTGTTTTGAGGTTTAGCTTAAGCAGGAAGACTATTAGCAATAAACAAACCTTGCTTGGAGTTACACAGACTTGTCTTCCGACTACCTTAGCCATGTGGATTGATTTTCCTTGGTTGGTTGAGCTGAAATTTATTTCTCAGTGATCTGCCCTATGGGATCTTTGTATTATTGATACTTTAGCATCGTGGTATTTGAGCTTTCTCCATTGCAGTAATATCAATCCTCTTGAGGCTGCCTGGTCTCCCTTTCAAGACAGTAGCAAAGTCTGTCAGGAGAGCTGTGTGAGGTGTATGGAGTAAGTCTAGTTGTCTGATTTGAAGCATTTTTTAAATCTATTTATTTGTTTAGAGAATAGATTTTACAGTGGAAAAGTTTTTATTTTCAGTTTTTGGAAGCTATTGCATGTGCCTTTAAAAAAAGAAAGGTGCTAGCACTCAGCAGTGGCTTTGAGGGAGCTTCATATCATCCGACTGTTTTTCTTTGGTTTTTTCTTGGTTAATAAACAAGCAGGAAAACTTCTGCTCCCTATACTTTCTGAAATTATTCCAGCTTACTGGTGCTTGTTCAGCACTGTTTGAAAAAGACCTTGTTAGTCTTTTGTTGGCACATCAGTGACAACAGGATAAAAAGGTTTCTCAGAGGAAATGGGAAGGAGTGATGTGACAAAGGTATCTGCAAAGGAAGAAAAGAAAAGAAAAAAAAGATGAAGAAAATTTCCTTATGGGAAAGAAAAAAAAATCCCAAAAATCAGAAGGAAGACAGAAGAGGGTTCATTTGATGAAAATCTTTCTCCTTAACTAAATATGAAGTGTAAATACCATCATCAACTAAATCACACATTGTGGTGGGTAATACATCTTAATAATTCCATTTAATGCTGCTTTAAATTAACAAATCTCAGAAAGAATGGGCCTTTCTTTTGTTCTTTATATTCTAATGAAAACATGTTCAGTTAAGAAAAGATTCACAAAATTAGGTGGTTTGAAATTGATAGTAAGAAAGTTCACCAAGTCTTACAAATGAATGATTAAGCAAAGAAAAAAAAATTGTCATTTGGCAGTTTTGTATCCAAGCCCAATTGGGAACCTGTTAAATCTGGAAAATGTTGAGACCTTACAGGTTACTTTGAAATGGGAGATTGTGGGGTTTTTTTCCTCAGAATGGAAATCTGGGTTTCTCTTTTTAGTGCACTTGTGGAAATAATTTTCCAGCTACAGAACAGTCATGCTGTGACTGTGCTTTATGCTCATGACTGGTAATAAATCATGCAGCCATCAGGCATGCTGAAAATTGTTATTGCCCAAATAGAATGAAATTATCTGGGGGGCAGTTGTGATACCTCACTTTCAGGTGGTCCAGTTTCAAAAGCGAGTTCCTTGTCATCCAACATATTTTAAGATTTCTTGGTGCACTTAAAACCACCTGTGCACCCAAGATCCATAGCTGCTTTTTAAACCTATTTATCCAGAGACACTCAGGCCTTGGTAGGTGTAGAAGGCAGAAGGGAGGGGGAATGGAGGGAGGTGCCCTCTTTCTACTTCTATTCTCTAAAATTAATCTCTCTGAAGTGCAGAGCTGTAGTGAGATTTCTTTGCAAAGGTTTTGGGGTATTTTTGGTTTTGTTTTTTTTTTTTTAATGTAGTACTAGTAAAGCTTGTGTGAGTTCTGTCACTCAAGAAATACAGTTTATGTGTGTTTCACTCTGTTGAAATACAGAAACACATCTAGAGACTGCAGAAATTTGTGAGCCAGGCCAGCAGGGCAATTTAGGGGAGTACAAAGGAGGGAACTGCTTCTGCATTTCTGTAAGAAACTCGGGAACAAATTGGACAATACTTCATTTGCATGTCTGCTGAATAACATGTAGAGAGAGGGAGACTCCCAGAAAAGCAGCCTATAATGAGCTAGGAAATGCTTGCCTGATCTCTGGGCTGCATGTCAGCTGCTTTGAAGCTGCAGTGGCAGTGGGCTTTCTTGGGCTGGAGAATAAGAAGGGGAAAGTCCTTAAGACTTTGGCACTTTTTTTGCATTCTACATTTACATCAATGAATTGAGCCTTATTCAAACCAGGGGATCAGTTCTACAAAGCCATATCCTGATGAGAGGAAATGTTGCTAGGACTGGCCTTTGAGTGTAGAGAGTAGCTGGGCTTTGAGACTGAACCTAAAAATACCAGATAAAGACAATGACAGGATATTTGATTGTCTGGGTTTGAGGGGGAGGGGGCTAACATTTTTTTTTAATATTTTAAAAGACGTTTTGCTCCTTTAAATGTTGATAACTAAAATCCATGTTTTTCCCTGTTCCCTTCCCTGTTGTGGAGACTGTGTTTATTTATGAAAGCCCTATCAGATTAATTCAGGGGGAAAAGGGGGAGTGGGGGGAAGATGTTCCACAAGAGTCAATTTAAAAATGCTTTGAAAGCTATTTTAGGAATGGTGATGCCAGAACTCACATACATAGAGAGAGTCATCCTTTGGATATAAAGCAATATCCTTGTGGCAAGCAGTAAGAAATGAAAATGGTTTATGTCTCTAAGAAACACTCTCAGTAATTTTGCTGATGTTTTGTTTATGCTGTAAGAGCATATTGTTTCTTGAGAAGCATAGTTGTAGCTTAATTGTATGATAATTGGAATTTAAATACACATCATAAGTGTAGCTCATTTATTTGTGCTCTTGAAAGTTGGTGCAACGCTGGAAGCTGCAAAACACCTACTCCTCATTTCTAGAAAGAAATTTCCCCTTCCTACAGCTGGACTGTGAGCACTGGCAGATAGGCCAGTCTGTAAGTGATGGAACAAAGCATTGCAGGCTCAGTCTTGTTGTTTTCCCAAGCTGTGTTATGCTGTGATTTTGTCATTTTGCAAAGACAAGAACTTGATCAGTTCATTTTAAAGGGACAGTCATGGGTTCAGCGGGAAATGTCATGAAAGGTTCGGGGAGTAGGTGAAAATAATGGCATTTGCAATTTGCAATTATTTTTCTGCCATTGTGTCCTGGAGGAGTGAGGGTGGGTAGGATGGTACAAGAGAGCTCTGAAGCCAGGTCTTGGAACAGGAAGAATAAAACTCTCAGCAGTTGGACTCCTGACTTTGAGGCAGTAGAAATCTGGTTGAAGAAAGGTCAGAGAGGAATAACAAAGTTGGTTTTGTTATATCAGGAAAAAAAGCTTAATAGAAACAAGATAGGTAGATTAATTAGAGCATAAATCTCTTCTAATGACTTTAGCCCACATCATCCTCCTGCAATCAGCAGGGACACCTTCCACCAGAGCAGGACGAGTCAAGCACTCTGCACCGATGCTGTGGCTTGTTTTCACTTCAGAACCAATGGAGTTGGTCCTCACAAAACTCTGTATAAAGGAGCAGTGTATTTTAAATAAATCGGAGTTTTACTCTCATGCAGCCTTCTGGTCAGTCTTCTCATTCCCGTCCTGCCTCGACAACGACAGCGGTGCTCAGGTGGGGTTGGGCTCTTTCTCCAGGCAGCACTGACAGAACCAGAGGTCACAGTCCCAAGCTACATCTGGGGAAATACAGGTTGGATATTAGGAGAAAGTTTTTTATGGGAAGAGTGATAAAGCACTGGAATGGCCTGCTGGGGGAGATGGTGGAAACATCATCCCCGGATGGGTTTAAAAAAAGATGATGTGGCACTCGGTGCTGTGGTTTAGTTGAGGTGTTAGGGTTGGGTTGGACTCCATCTTTAAGGTCTCTTCCAGCCCTGTGGTTCAGTGATTCTGTGAATGCTCTGGGGCTGTGGACATGTGGGATCTCTTAAGGCAAACCCTTGGCAGGGGGAAGGGGGGCAGTGGGGCAGTGGTACAGCTGGGCTCTACGGTCAGGGATCAGGCCATTGCTGCTGTGTGAGACAGTGCAGATGTCACTGCTGCTGTCAGCCCAACATGCCCTGCTTCCCTGTAAAACTCTTTTTTTCCTTTTTTTTTTCTTTTTTTTTTGTGAAACTGTTGATATTAGCATGTCCTGTGGGTTGTGGTAAAGTGTGCTAGCCAGAAAAGCTGTGGTGCTAGCTGGAGGTGAGTCAGAAGATGCAAATGAAAGAAACTCATCTACTTTTCTCTGCAATCTGTGTTAACAACATGTGCTTTCACTTTCAAACTGAAGCTGAACATATAATATAATAAAATTATATGTCCCACTGAACTGGACATATAATAACCATTTCAAATGTGTAAGAGCTTGCAGATTGCAGCAGTGCAGAGAAATGATGTTAAAGAGAATGGGATTAATTTTATAGACTGGGAAAATAATAGGTTTTCTACAATTCTTTTTTTTTCTACAATTTTTAATCCACTTTTTAGCAAATCTTAAGTTTTATAATGAAATGGGGCATGTTTGTGTGCTTTGAAATGATCCAGTTTCTGTCTTGTAACAACTGGTTTGTAACTCCACAGGGGAGTATTTAAGCTGCTCGAGGCTGTTTGAAAAGATTGTTTAATGATGCGCCACCTCTTTATTGGGATATTTGCAGTATTTTGGTGGGGGTTGTTCTAACATTTTTGTTTATTGTTTGGCTGTAGGGGGTTGATGTCTTGACTCTGCTCTGGAAATGGAGAATTTACTGTAAATGTGCTTTGACTGAAGCTCTGCAGTGCTGTGTACACCCTGGGGGCTTTCAGTCTCAACAACACACTGGTCATGTTATCTGCACATTCATTTGCTGGCATCTCTTTTGAGAGTGTATGGGTCAAGAAATAACTCTGATATCTCCTCCTTTTTTCTAATTTCCTGTGCCAATCACATGCTCCAGGAAGACTGGAAGTTACATCACTACCAATCCATGACCATGAGATCAAAACCAAATGGGAGACCAGTGACCAAATGAGATGGAAAGGAGGTAGAATTGCAGTAGCAGTGAAGACAGAGGATAAAATTAATGTAAATGTATGAAGCCATTGGGATGGATTGCTAGCAATTGAGATATTTGAAGGAATTTAATGATAGGGAAAAAAAGACCTTTGCAGGAAGACTGATTTTGATTTTTTTGCTTCACTTTCTATTAGGTGAAAAACTAGCTGCAGGGAGCTTTCCAGGATGGAGATCAGACAAAAGGTAAACAGGTAGGAGGCAGAGGAAGGGGGAGAGTAGGAAGAATCTTCCTGCTTGTGGTTGGGTTTGGTGGTAAAAGAAGAAACAAGAGGAGTTCAGTAACTCCTTGACAGGGGATGCACAGCTCTTCTGAAAATGGTTTTGGTGATGGAGTATGGACTGTCTAGTGCACTTAACCTATCCAGGGGCATGCTTCTTCCAAATTTTACTGCCTGCCTTAGTTGCTGACTCAATACTGATCAAGTGTCTACAATGCTTGCCTGCAAACATGTGGGCTCTTGCTTCAGCACTGCCTTCATTCCATTTTTCAGCTTTCTCTCTGTGAAGACTTTCTCATTAGAGTTTAGGATTAGCTCAGTGCATGCATAGTGATTTCTCCCCTTCACTTCAGAGCTGTTGGACCCAAGTCTTCCTGTGCTCTATAAAACAAGGGGCCTCACTGTGTTGAAGCTGAAGGAGCTTGCTGAAAAGCTGAGTTCCTCAGATCTGCACAGCTCTGTGTGTGCACACAGCCCTGCCCAGGGCTGTTCTCAACCATTCCCTGCACATTCAGCCCATCCCTCTGTGCCTGTGCACAGGAGAGCACAGAGGACAGGCACATCCTT